TTATTTCTCTGCCCACTTTCAATCCCAAGCTACATATCCTCCAGTCAGCTATTTTTATGCCATTTGTGCATTGTTTAGCGCACATTATCACATTTTCCTCTTAACATTGACAGCCACCCACCTCAAGAGACATAAATGAAGAGGAGGATGCGAGGGAGATGGCGAGGGGGAAGGGGAGAATAGTAAAGCGGAGTGAGAAACTAAAACGATGATTCAGATTGTTGTTAGACTTTGCACACTAAGCTACCACAACTGGTGGGTGGATGGCACTACCTATTAGGGACATATATGTCTGTGCAAGTATGTAAGTGCAGTGCAATCTCGATAGTTCGGACTCTAGATAGTTTAAAGTTTAAACAATTTGAACATCCAATTCAGTCTTCTGACTGTGTAGACTGTGTATTTCGGTAAATCACCTTAGAAATTCAGACACTGTTTTGTATACCCTTCACTGAAAACTGTGTGTGTGTGTTTGAAACGCTTAAAACGAAGAATGGTGGAATACATGGTATGGATTCACAGTGATGTTCAACACAGATAATGTATAGGGATATAGGGATAGGGATATTGTACATAAGTATAAACAATATGATTTCATAATAGTCTTTTGTATCAGAAACTGATTTCTATTGAAATCGAATTATACATTGAGCATGTTATAGACATAACAAATCAGATCAACACAACATGATTGATTTTTTGGTAAAATAAGTAATTTCTAGTGAAAGATAATATATATAGGTATATACATTCCGGGGACATTTTATAACTTTAACAAATAAATTATCTGTATTTCTCAATTAACGTTTTTCTTTTGTTATTCAAAGCAAATAAAAAAATTTTTTATTTGTTATTAAGTAATGTAGAGTTTTCGGTATTTCGATGGTGGATGGTGGAAAACTAATTGTCCAGCTTATCGAGGCTATACTGTATAAGTACCGGCACTACACAGTTGAAAATCTCTCTCAGGCGTACAAACACTTTGGTTTGAAGTGGTTTTACAGCGCACTGCAGTGCAATGGATTTCTATCGTGTCTTTGGAGGAGTGAGTGAGAGAGGGAGGGGGAGGGGTGCTGAGACTAACTGTGGGGTTGGGGTTGGGGTTGGGTCGCAATAACAACGTCAGAATGTTGTTTCTGAATAGTGAGAACAAAGGACCTATTGTGGTGCTTGTCGTTTCTATTTTTCTTGTTGTTGTTGTTGCTATTATTATTAAACAATTGTCGCCTTGAATGAGTCTGAGTCTGTGCGGGTGTATCTGTGAGTTGATCAAGTGTAATTACTACTTGCTGTGTTTAAATAGAATTCTCAGTGCCTGTGGAGGATGCACATTGTAGTTATTTATAGATTTAATGTTCTTGCATAGTACGATAAATTTTCTCGTAGGAGGCTTAGGATTTCTGAGTTAACAGGAATCTGTTTTTAATAAGTAGGAGGATGAACTACGCTTAAATTAATTTTTGCTTAATCTATTATATATATATGGCTTGCATTAAATAAACAACAATTTTATACCAACTCTTTTTGGAGTTTAATTAATATACATATGTCCATTTAAACCATTTTATGCAACATATAAAAAAATGAATAGGACATCAAATACTATTTGAAGAAAACCTGTCCCTTTACTGTGTTAGAGATTATACAAATTTGGTTTTTATTTGCATTCATTTTTCAACAAATCTGTCTGTAGATAATACAAAATGCCTCAAACGAGGTGGACTTGTTATGAATTATTATTACAATTGTTGAGAAGTTGTATAAAAACATCAGCAGCTTTGTTTGTCATTAACAATCCGAATAACCTGAATAATCCGGCGATCAGACTGCAAATTTCAAAAGTAAATCCCAAAGAAGTTCCCAGCTGGCCTAACATTAGGATTTTGTTTTATAAAAACAAGTCAAGTGAGTTTTGAGTGTAATCTATGTACGAGTAGAGTTTATTGAAATGATTGGCATATTAGTGAATCGCCGGGCGACGAACGACAACGCGATATACTACACGCCTTCTTCCCTTCGTACCAGTACCACTGCCGGTAGACTGTGTGCCACCACCACGTCGGATAATGTTGACGATGCGAATAATGCGGCGACGAGGAGCGGTTCCGCCGGTGCTTGGAGATGAGGGTGCCGGTGTAGGAGAGGCAGTTGAGGCTGTGGTTGCGGGTTCCGTAGTTGTTTCCGAAGCTGTTGTTGTGTCTGTTGAAGCCTCTGTTGTAGAGTCCTGGGCCAGAGTTAGGGTCGCGAAGACGGCGCAGATGGCGAAGGCGATCAACAGAAATTGCTTCATCTTGATTTACTTGTTACTAGTTGTCTGTGAACTAAAACTGATATTGTAAGCTTGAACTACCTTTAATTTATACCAAAATATTTCCCTAATATTTCACTCTGTTCAAATAACTATATCTAAGCACTACAAATACAATAAACACAGTTACTGTTATGCTCACAGTTGCTTTCGACTAAGCAAAATATCAAACATTTACATATGATGTAGGCAAATAAGATCAATAATAGTATTGTACGCAATACTACGTTTTATTGTCAGAAAACTTCCAATCGTAATTTTTCAGTTATTAGAGTTTGTTTGATTAAAATGTAAAGGTGGGACAAATTTCAACAACTGCAAATGTTTATATTTCTATTTTTCCTATTGACAAGACAAAGCGGAAGATACTGTTCGAGATTTGTATTTCAAGCTTAACTTAAGATAGACGTTCAACATAAAAATATTTAAAAAAAAATTAGTTATGATAAATATCAAATAAACTTATACGAATCTATATATCCGACAATTATCATTAAATACATATGAGTAAACAATTTAGCCTGCTTGTCGACTTAAAAGACGTAAAAACATTTTACTTCAACGGTACCAAATAGGCATTTATTATTACTTAGCCGAGATTAGCTTTAGCACCCATAGCCAAATATAATTATCTTTATAGTTATGTCACACTCGATATTTGTGTGTTCTTTATAGAGAGTAAAACTATTTTTTATATATTTATCTAAGTCTAAGTCTATCTAAGGGCACATTTCATTCCTTTCTGGATATTCTGTTTTTTTTTATCAACTTTTGAAATTGGCAAAGCAAGTCCTTCCGATTAGAAAATAATAGCTGTCTAAATATTTTTGCAAATAATACACTAATGCGATTTGTTTGCCATGTGAAAAGGACAATTTTTATTGATTTGTAAATAAACATATATAAACAATTTTCCTTTTTTCTAACGATAGGAATAGCCTGCAAAAATAACTTAACGAGTGCTCGAATAGATTAGATGTTATAGCTTAACGTACAAACATATATTAAGCTTTATAAATAATCAAGTGCACATAAAAGGCAGTAAATGGTAAAAAAAAATGGGTTAGCTCAAAAAGTATTTTCGAACGGGTAGCGTCCTGAAGGTAAACAAGATCAGAATTACGTAGGACAAGATATTTATTTTCTTTATGATGATAAACAGAAATGATAATGCCATTAATGTCTGTAATTGTAATTTACATTTCTTAAATCTTCTTTTAGGGAGAACAGGGGAACTTTTATGTGTCGGCTCGCACTTCATTGCAATTTTTATCTTAATTATAAAAAGGTACATATTTAAAAGAAATTACATTTTATAGGTATTTAGAGAAACAATTCATATTTATAACTCTAAAAAAGAAAAGTTTCAATTTCGTAATATAATAAAATAACTTGATGCTGGTCACGTGCTATATCCTGAATCCAGTGTTTGGTGAATTAGTTGTGATACAAGCAAACTGATAGCGAAATGGAAAAGTAGTGGGAATCAATCAACTTCTTTTCACAAGCCATCATGTTAGAATTACCATCAAGTGGTAAACATTGTAAAACCTTTTCTGCCCTTAATAATGAAAGCAAGTCATGCGAGTTTTGAGCACAATCTACATAGAGTTTATTGAATTTAGTGGCATATTAGTGAATCGCTGGACGACGAACGACAACGCGATATACTACACGCCTTCTTCCCTTCGTACCAGTACCACTGCCGGTAGACTGTGTGCCACCACCACGTCGGATAATGTTGACGATGCGAATAATGCGGCGACGAGGAGCGGTTCCGCCGGTACTTGGGGATGAGGGTGCCGGTGTAGGAGAGGCAGTTGAGGCAGTTGAGGCTGTGGTTGCGGGTTCCGCAGTTGTTTCCGAAGCTGTTGTTGTGTCTGTTGAAGCCTCTGTTGTAGAGTCCTGGGCCAGAGTTAGGGTTGCGAAGACGGCGCAGATGACGAAGGAGATCAACAAAAAGTGCTTCATCTTGATTTAGTTATCACTTGTAGTGCTGGAATTAAACTGATATTCTATGCCGAATTCACCTTCAATTTATAGTGAAATATTTTCTTCTGTTCCACACAAGTACAATATATATTTTGTGTTCACAGTTGTTCGGTTAAAAAAAGATCAAACATTTACACTTATAACCATATATGTACATATGTAAATAACTTAAAAACACTGATAATATTTGTAATACAGTTTGACGTAAGTAGACAAAGATTATTAGACTTTTAATTGTCAAGAACCCTATACCGATGACAGGTTTTTTTTAAACTCTGATTTTTGAGACCAACGTGATCGTTCTAAACAAATTGGTTGATGTAGTTTAGTTGTTTAATTGTAATTATTCAAAATGTTTGTTTAATATCCAATTGTTTATATGTATGTAAGCAGTCTCACGTATTTCCTATAAGCCAAGAACAAAATATTCATAGTGTTTGCTTTCAATTTTCTTTAACTTCACAGTTTACCATTTAAATTGTACAATTCGAGTGCTGCTACCAAATACTTAATAGTAGGCAGCATACATTTTAGCATATGATACAGATCTGTAATTATTAACAGTTTCCAAGTTGCGCAAATATACTGTCACAGGATATATTGAAATATACGTGTAATTGTAAAATTATATCAGGACTTTATATAAACTATCCCCTATAAAATTTGCTTTAAGGAATTAAGAAATCAGGCTTTAATATATTCAATTTGTTTCTAACATCGGGAACGTAATGGTATTGGCAATCCCACATTGGTTTCCTTTATTGCGTGCCATACGAACATATCCTTTCTCACCCCATTTGTCGCCCCATGAGTTCTTAACCAGCCAGTAGTCTCCCTCTCTTCTTTGGGTGTCATAGCCTACAACGAGAACTGCGTGAGTCCCTACTTCTCCACAATCTTCTTCATTAAACACACCGCGTTCATAATACACAAAATTAGGGTGTACATGGATAATGACAGAAATAGGACCTTTCTTTGCAACATAATGCTTCAGAGTTGTTTCATTTTTTCCTTTATGCACAATAATTCTATTTATAGTCATACCTATATAGGAAGTATGTTTCTTATGGAATTCACAGTTTCCCACACTCGCTTTGTATGGATAGGAGCGTTCCGTATCAACTCCTTTTTTTTCTGCACATAATGGAGCGCTCTGTTTGGCATGCCTCTTTCACAGCCATAATTCGAATAAGTGGAATTGGCGCAGTCTAACAGGTTTTGTGCAGACAGATCGACGAGTTTTTGTTTTTTACGGAAGTATTGCCCCTCCAGCGTGCCAATGGCAGAGAAAGCCCAACACGAACAGCAGTTACCCTGATCCTTGACAGAGCTAACGGCACCTTTTTTGCGCCAATTGATTCTTTTGGGAAGTTTTAACTTCGACACTGTGGGTGTTACATAAAACATCGTGCTATTTTTAACAACATCCATAGTCGCGTTATTGATGCAACCTTCAAGCTCCTTAAATTGAAGGTCCGTAAATTTGTTTACACCCATCTTATACGTTTTTTTGCCAGCAGCCCATCGTTTGTTGTGCGTTGCAATCATGTACTTATTATCCTTGAAGATTTTGAATCGCATCGTTTCCTCTTTCCCATAACCATAGCTCTTCCCATGCTTTAGTTTAAAAGCCTTCCATTCCGCCTCAAGGACATCGGAGTCCATTATAGTCTGGACACAGGCCACTAGCAACAAAACCAGAACTGTGGTGTACATTGCCAGCACCCAATTAATTGTCCGCTGCAAACGACTTACTAAAGCACACTGAAACATTTGAAAGTTATACATTTGAAACTTATGAAATGCGCCCGCATATAACAGAACCTATAAACCGCATATTATTCTCCTTAAATCTGAAAGTTGAGCTATTAGCAATTCGTAGTATTTAAATTAAAAATACATTTCAACGCTAAAGGCGGTCTAACTCAAGAGCAACTGAATATTTAAATAAATAAATATTTAAATACAATAAAGATGGGGATTCGTATGTCAAGTTGACAGGTAAATGTTTTGCTTTTTCTTTTCATATATTGCACAACTAAGCTTTATTTGACACTAGTTGGCCGTTGAGCTAGAATACCTTAATTATAATAACTACAAGCCGCTTAACACTAGTAATAATAATTGCTAATTACTACAAGTATATATAAAAGAGGAGGACAGGAGAATCAAACTAAACCTTTAGAGTACAAAAATGCTGTACATTTTCGGCCCTCTTATGAAAAATTCTGATGAGTGATAAAGATATTTCAGATCATCGAGTTAAAATTCTGGACTGCTCCCCTTAAGTGCAAACTGCTAATTCTTACCACACTTTTGATGCTGTTGTACCCGAAGGGTATTTACCTAATTGGGGAATGCTTTTTTTAGTAGCTTAAGAATTTATGGGCATTGCTCTAAATATTTAATGTTCTTTTCATAGCTCTCTTTCGTATAATTTCAGGTGGTACAGGAAACCGCATATTTTCAAACGCATGAAGCACGATGCCATAATTTTAAGCTTACATGAAATTTATGCCGAAACGACCAACAACAACAAAAGCAACAACAACAGTAACTTGAAACAATAACACGTCAAAGTTAGCTGTGCAAGCGGCGCACATGCAACATCACATTAGTGGGTCAGCGATGCGGGCTACCCACTCCGATCCGCAAACGCACCCACACCCACGATATACCTAACCAAGAGCCCACACACATACACACAGCGACACAACTACACACGCGAGCTGGAACGTCACGAAGAGCAAATTATATAAAATTATCATGCAGCGCAGGCAACTGTGGCCAGGCAACGACGACGACAAGGCTAAACTGCAAATGCAGCAGAGCGTGCGAGCTGCATGGCGTATACATAATATGCGCTAAAGGTGGCCATTTGCCAAGCCGAACAAACAAACCAAGAAGAAAAAAAAAACAACAAAAACAAAACAAGCAAACAACCTAACAACAAACAGCAAGAATAGGAACAAGAACAAGACAACGACTATAAAGTAAACGGAATTCAGGCAAATGGCAAAAGTTTTGAAAACTATTCAAAGACGCACAGAACAATGTGTAGAGGGCTATATAAAGTGGACAGTAGTGGCAACGCCAGGCACAAATGTTGCTGAGCATGTATCTGCAGCATCACCAACATCAGCACCAAATGTTGCAGCTACAAATGTTGCTGCAGCATGTGGCCACGACGCGAAGACAAACATGGACGCAAAATTGGCAAAGCTAACGGTGCAACGGCTATTGCAGCATCTCCACTTAACGGCGCTGCAGTTGACCATACATCCCAACAACAACAACAAAAACAATGATGATAATAGTAACAAAAACAGCAACACCAACAGAGCATACTCGTATATGACGACGCTACATAAATTACTGCAAGTTTGCCAAGGCAATTGCCATGGAGAATCACATTCGTGTGGCATGCGGTACATAATGTTTGCCGTGCTCATCTATGGATGTCTGTTGCTTCATGCCTCGGCCAGCGAGGCGAAGGCGACAGCCCTGCCCATGATGACAACGACGACGGCGCCAATTTCAATTCCAATAGCCTTAAATTTAAGTGAACAGCGCGCCCAAAAACGCGATGTTGCCCATGTGCCTGATGATGACTATGACGCCAGTTATCCCGATGATATCGATGACCTTGAGGACTTGATAAATAATAAGTCAGGTGAGTACATTTTTCACACAAAATCGGTATTTATTTTTACTCTACGCAATGGAGGGCCTTCGCACAATGACACGATATACACGCCTGATTCTGCCAGCGGTTCCAGTGGAGGTAGCATTGGCATTGCTGCCAGTATTGATGATGTTAATGACGCGAACAATGCGACGGCCACCGGTTTGTCCCACTGTCGTGGCTACGGCCAATGCGAAGATCAGAAATGTTATCAGATAAATGTGCCTCATCGTATAGTTTTGTTGCGACTGTCAATTAAAATTTAATAACTGCCATACACAGAGTTCGCAGTTTTTATAGCAAGATTTTCCATTACTTCCTTGAGTTTCAAAATTAGCTTCTTAATTTGTCTCTATTGATATTGTCTGTGCATAAGTACAGATGTGGGCGATTGTGTTTTCAGTTGGTTACAGACTTACTCCAAAATCTACTTGTATTATAGAAAAAGAGCGTAAATATTTAGTAAGTAAATAAACAACTGATAATGTGTGAGAAGCATATCGTTAGCACATGTAAATGTTAGTGGAATTTCTCTAAAGTTTTATTTAATGGAGACCATTGTCACCGACTTGCAAAAGCTGGCTCATTTGTGCTTACAAAAATTAAGTGATTGACGATATGATGACGATAGAAATAATCAGGAATTTTAACAAAAGAAATCTCAATACACTTTTTTTTAACAAAAATGGACTTCCTTACCAACTTTTCGAAAGTTTCTCTTCTTCAAAATTTCAAAAACTTATTTTATTCTAAATGCAGAAACTTAAAGTAAAATTTCGTAAATTTAAAAAAGATCATAGAAATATGACGAATGTTTATTATTTGAACAGAACAAAATGACCTCTCATCATTCAGGTATGGTTGGCAGACTCGTAAAGTAAGTGAAAGTCCATCAGACACTTTTTATCACAGCATTATCTGATCATTAGATTTAACATGTTATGCATACTAAGCAATCTGATGATGTGGCGCCATTGCAAACAATCAATGCCGCACTGGATACTTGACCCATACAAATGCAAATTGCGAATGTTATGGGGTTATAATGCATAAATGAATACAAATGCCCATGAAATGCCAATGCCAATACCAGCATCCATATTGTGGACAGTCTGCAAATTCTCATATCTCTATGTATGTAGAATGTAGATATGTATGTATTGGTCGGTACTGCGTAGCTACCGAAATTGTTTTGAATTGGGCTGTTGTTGTTGTTGTTTTGGTGGGTAAAATATGGCATAACGACAGACTGTTGCGGTCAACTGAGAGACTTTGCACCGTTGTTCAGAATGCAATTGGACTGCCTGACCAAAAAGTAAATAAATTGAATGAATATACGAATGAATCGTTTTAGCTCCGAGCCATACAAAACAAACAAAAACGAAACCACCTAGAGGTGCAGACCAAACAAATCCAGCGAGCTCACAGACATTGAACAGTGCAGGCCTGCAAAATCAACAACAACAACGTTGAGGATGGGGTTGGCGTTGGGGTTACGGTTGTGAAGTTCAGGTGGATTTTGGCTTGCGCAAAACACCGCAGCCGACATCTGTTGTGCAATTTATGGCAATTATGATCTCCGGGGATTTCGCTTGCCCAGTCTGTTATGGTTTGCCGGCTGTGGTCAGCAGCTCGCACTGCCAAACTGCTGCAGTGTGAAAAAGGTCAAGGAAATGCAAATATGTTTCTGAAAATGCCAACACACATTTTCATGGAACGCCACTGTAAAGTAGAACGTACGACTTTGCCGAATAGGCGAAAGCTTAATTATAACTTAGGTCCAATCAGTGAAGCATTAAAATCAGAAGACCGATGCAAGTTCACCAATTTTGTTAAAATATCATTCTCTACCTCTTATTCTATATTTATCTCAAATTAATTAATTAATTGTTGCTGATATATTTGAAATGTTGTTAAACTTTGCATAATTGCCTGTAAAAAATGATATCTTCGAAAAATATAATTCAAATAAAATTTGTATATACCCTAAAATTGGATGAAATGCGAAATATAACTAGATCAGCTCCACATATGTTTGGAATATAAATATATATATATAAATATATAAACGTTTACCTTTTAAAGAAAATGAGAGAATTAGAGTAAGGGGCAGTACAAGTCATGAAAGAAACTTCATTGGCAGCCAAAACTGCTGCATGCTTTTAGGGGCACTTCAAAAGCACGAATACACTTGCCTACATACTTACTTAGTATACATAAGTACCTATAATTATATTTTGGTGCTTATATGTACATGTATGGGTAGTATTAGAAGTTGTTACAGATTTTTTCTCTTTGCCATTTTTTATTCTCTTATTCCGAACACATGTTCATATCTGTGAATTGCTTTACTTTTCAAAAAACTCTGGATGCTTTTTGCATGTTTATATACAGTTAAAAATGTCGAGGGGCCTGTCATAGTTCAACAAGCTAGCAGGAATTCCACAATGTTAGTTCGTTCCTGAGTAGGAGGCATTCGGTTCGAATCACGGCGCCTACCACCCTTGCATACGACTAATTCAAAATTGCTTGCAGTCTTCAAATTCTGTAAGAGTGGTCACTTATATAAAAAAAGTGGAGTACAGAAATGATTGTAAACCTTTTTCCTCATATATTTCTAGCTTTCAAGAAAAGGGTACTTATGTAGCTTACACAATCGTACATTAGAGATTTCACTTTCAAAAGCTTAGTCATTATTAATAACTGCCTGCATCATTTAGTTGCCCGCAGTTTATTTTTGTGATTGTATTTTCATAAAATGTATGTATTTGGTTTAGTCAAATGACTTTAAAACCAAACGATTATTCATGGTTATTTGTAGAGTTGCTTGTTGGATTACGACTATTTAAGAGCAGCCTGTTCTGTATAATGCTGTAGTTATAAAATAATAATAATGCGTGCAGCAGTTGGAATTTTATTGATCGCAGCTTGCGTTCAGGCTATTACGTATTCTGAAGTTCTGGAAGCTGAATGGGTTGCCTTCAAATTGGAGCATGGAAAGAGCTACAACTATGTGGAGCAGGATAAATATCGATTTGAGATATTTAAGGGCAACAAGTTCATGATTGCCCAGCATAATGAACGTTGGGCAGCAGGCGAGGAAAGCTACGAAATGGAGATCAACCAATTTGGCGATATGCTGCCAGAGGAGTATATGCCGCATACGGCCATCTATGATGAGGCTGATTTGAATACCGATGACATAGTAACCTTCTTGCCAACTGCTCATGTGACCCTGCCGAAAACAGTTGATTGGCGCACCAAAGGAGCAGTAACACCTGTGCAAAATCAGTTCATGTGCAAGTCTTCCTATGCTTTCTCTGTAACAGGCGCCTTAGAAGGTCGACAATTTATTCGCTCTGGCAAGCTGGTGCCGCTCTCTGCACAGAACTTGGTGGACTGCGCCGGGAGAAAGTATCATGACAACGGCTGCTTTGGTGGCTCAGCACTGAATGCCTTTGCATATGTGATCCATAATCGAGGCATTGCTTCAGAAAAATCCTACCCGTATACAGCCAAGGAAGGTCCTTGTAAATTCCACAAAAATCAGACAGCGGCAACAGTGAAAGCCATCCAAGTAATTTTTTCGGGAAATGAGACGCAACTTGCTGACGCTGTTGCCACAAGGGGTCCAGTCTCAGTCACCTTTTCATTGAATGGCGGCATCTTTTTCTACAAAAGCGGTATCTACAATAATACCCGCTGCAGTCATTGGCCAAGTCATGCAGCACTTGTTGTGGGCTATGGAACAGATCCCAAATATGGAGACTATTGGCTGGTCAAGAATTCTTGGGGCAAGCGATGGGGAGAGAAAGGATACATTCGCATGGCTCGCAATAAGAACAGTCAGTGCGGCATAGCCGATTGGGCCCTGATTCCCTTGAACTAGTTATCGTGCTAAGTTTCCACAAATGAAATTCATACTTTTTTAATTTAAATTGAAGTTATACAAAAAATGGTAAATTCTTTAAAATGTACATGTCTTGGCAATATTTTACAAATTTCATTTTATAAACTTGCAATAAAACTTACTTGTATAAATAAACCAAATATCCTTGCTTTTTATTTAGTGTGCTGTGTGGTTTGAACTGCAAATTAAATTGCTGAAAATACTTTATTTAGGAGCTACTTGCTACGAACTATAGACTAGAGTCTACTACAACTGCCATTGTCGTTGTGAGAGTGAAAACGTCTCAATTGTTCGATTTCTCTGAGACTTTTTAACTATCTTTATACTAGTACTATCAGATAATGATGCACAATATTTAAAAATCTGCTAATAAACAGATCTAAAAACATTTCACTAGCATTCCATTCCTTTTTTGGGTAATAACTAATAATTAACTTTGACAGTTGTCTGTGGAAACTGATGCTATTCAAGCGCTGTAGTAATTGTGTCAACATTTTAGAATACTCCAAAAATTATTAAACATTTATTAACTAGATTTCACGTTGCTTTGCATCAGTCAGATTGTTGGCTTCTATCAGGCAGGTATTCTATTTCAGTTGTTTATAGAGGTATTTGGGATCTTTGCCAGCAAATGGAGCTTTCACTAATAGTCACCAATTCTCTGATTATATTTCAGCTAAAGGAAAATACATTGGAGCGCCCTGCAATGATATGAAATGTGATGCCAATTTGTTGCACGTGCGCTGCGATAAGGAGACGCTTACTTGCAGCTGCGAGAAGAATTATCCCGTGCAGCTTGGACTGATAAAGGGTTGCGACAAACGTAAGCTATAATTTTGTTGCTTGTTATTAATTTCCAACTAAACACGATCATTCTGCTCGAACTGTAGCGAAGAAGCTTGGAGAGCAGTGTTTCTATCATGAGACCTGCATCTACTCAGACGAGAACTCCCTATGTGTTCAGGTGCGACACAATGCGATGTGTCAGTGTGCAAATGGTTTCCATTCGGTGAGCTACTCAAAGCCAACAAGGCGTGTGTTCTGCACGCAAGGTAAGTTCAGTTTTCAGATTGTAGATAGACCCTGTAGAGTGTAGCTCGTTTCCTTTGCGACAGATCTCAGTGAAATGGGCTCGGATTTGCCTACTCTCCTGGGCGTCTCGACGGGCATTGCGGTGCTGGCGGGCCTCATCTGTATGGTGCTGCATCTGTTTAGCAAAACGAAGTATCCGCGACACAGGAATTTCGCAGATGCCAACATACCACCGCCCATACTCTACTCCAGTGATACAGGTAACACCTTTGGCGATTAGAAAGTAGCCCCGCACGATTACTGTGGTACACATCTTTCAGGTATACCTCTGACCGTGCACTCGGGTCGTCCATCGTCGCGCTCCAGCATACGGTCGACGGGATCGATCGGCTCCTATGGCAATCGACGTGCCTCGGCCGGCGGGCTAACTGGTGGCGGTGTTAGCAATGCCGGCGGCGGCGGCGGCGGTGCCAGCGGCTCAAAGGGCATACTGGTGTCCACGTCACGTACAGGTGCGGCTAGATCGGCCGCCATATTGCTTATATCGTGTCACATAGCGGCCGTGTCCAAACACAATTCACGCGCCTCATCGCGTCACACCTCGGGTGCCGGTTGCAGCCAACACTCGCGCGACGATCTTGACGAGAATGGGTCCGATGGCGGCGGCTGTCGCAGCTGCGAGAGCACGCTGTCGATGACACGTCACCTGCAGAAACAATTGAATCATCAACGGCATCTGCTCAGCTTCGAGCTGTCGCCGGCGAAGACAAAGAATCACGATAGAATTAGGACCCTGTTGGGCATGAATGGAATTGATAATTATAGAACCGATGAGGACGATAATGATGATGATGATGAGTTCAATAGTTTAGATCGTAACGCTAGCCACCTGCATGAGCTGGCTAGCAGTGGTGGTGCTGTTGGTGCTGGTGGTTTTGGTGGTGGCGCTGGCGGTGGCGATGGCGGTGGTGCTGAGCTGCATCATTTGCAAATTGGCGCGCTGCCCACGCCGGCGAGTGAAACGCCCAGATTTGCGGTAAATCAAATCAATCATCAGTCATCAACATCAATCACATGGCAATCGATCTCCGTTTGCTCTTCTAACTTGCTCTCTCATGTCCATAATAACTCATGCAGTGTCCAACGCATCACACAACACACAGACTCTTACAAGACGCTACAAACTTACAAAAAACAACAACAACAACAATTACAGCAACTGTTGCATCATATAATACCATTTTTCGTTCTGTGTTATAATCACTGTTCAATTGGTGTTGTTTAAAGATTCTACATATGCTATGATTGATAATCCCGTGTAGTTTGTGAAACCATTTACATTTCACTAAAAAAATATTTCAAAATTTCATTCATTATCTCATACAATATACAAGTGGTCATCACATTTTCCGATTCCATGGAAGAGTTCAGTACAAAAAAATATGATATATTTTTTGAGTACTTGATATATAAATGGAATATTATAAATGAACTACACTTTATGTTCCATTTATTTTGATATTGCCGATTCCAATCGGTATAATTTTGGTATAATTTTATTTTACCATTTCCACTAAATATATATGCGAAACTTTTTTTGTAAATTGTGAATTTTGGTTCCCAGAATGAGCTATATATAATTATCAAATGAATTCGTTTTTGCCAATTTAATGAAGGGCTTTTAAGTATTTCAAACGATTAAACTTAAATCTTGAACTCTACTACCTACTACCGAATTGCGAAACGTAAACAATAAACGAGTGAAATGGTAATATCTTGAATATTAGTGTTGTAAATTTATATTGTTTGGACAGTTCCTGTTGGGCGATATTTTTTACTTATGAAATCCAAATGAACGTTGTTTCAACTTTTGTGCGTTAATCTTTTAATTCTGCAAACACAAAAGATATATAGTATATTGTTTTTTATTTTCATCATCAGGAGATAAAAATGAAAATGGCGCTTTAATAGTAAAAGCTATGCGAAATTCACACTCATCCGTTTCATGTTCATTCCAATGTGTCTATTAAAACATATTCCATCTCATTTCGCTTCCAGTGTATGCCAAAACTAGAGTTAGTCAAAAAGTTACTCCTTAACTGCCTTAGTACTGTACCAAGTTTTTGTTCCCCATAATTGATGTTAATTGTGCTTTCGAACCTCTATTTCAGTCTAAAAAGCTGTTCTATATTATTTTTCTTCCGTTTACCACCAAATACATTACCCGCATCATACATACATACATATATGTGTATATGTACTAGTATATTTCTGAACAATAGTAGGCCGTTGCTTATTTAAAAACAAAGACACGAAGTCAACAACACACACGCCACACAAATACACACGATTACTTACATACGAGTACACAGACAATCAAGAGCAGTAAATACATACAAGTATATACAAATATATATAAATTTACATTCGAGTAGATACTTTAAAAATTTCAGTGCTGTCGGCGCAAACAAACATAAGAAGCCAAATAATAAAGAAGTAAACAAATAGAGCAAATAAAATTCATCGCTTCGGGTCTTATAAAGCATCTCATATTCCATCTTTGTTGTTTATGTTACAGAAAACCCACTGAAATACATATTTATGAAATATATATATATATATATCTATACAAACATACAACAATATCTTTAAGCCAGCTACTGAAACAAGACGCTAGCGCTACTCTCAATATATCACAGCCAATATTTTGGACAAGATGATATTCAAGCAATATGGCGGTGACTATGTCCAGTTAAATTTTATACACAATGATTACCCGATAAACTAAATATAACTTTGATATCTACATCTTTTATTTATTTACAATATTATCGCAAAGTATCAATTATCAATTACAACCACACACACACACACACATCGCATACACACACACACACCCATACACCCATAAATTAACTTGCATGCATCCTGTTCGCAGCAATTGGTTTGACTGCATCCAGGATATCTTTTCTTTACACAGACATATCTAAACCTGTACACCCACCCACCCACACACACACACACACATTTATATACATATATATATATACTTATTCTTGTGCTATTGGAGCCAGTATACAAAGTTTTCTCAGTTGTTCACAATGCCATACTACAAGCTGCCACATGAAACAAATTCCTTTTTTATACTTGTATCTGACCAAGTTTTCTCGCTGCCTCTGCTCTGCTTCTTGCTACAACTTTTCTCGGCGCAATAACTGAATGAATGCATTTTGGCCAACAACACCTTTTTGCTATTCTGTGATACTCACTAAATTCGAAGCCTTTTTTATTTAAGATACCCTATTTTTCGTCCCAAAACAAAACACATAGAAATTTATATATGGAGAGTAGTAAGGCTTTTTGAATATTTTTATGATCAGAGAACGAAAGATTCCTTTCCCAAAGTAAGTGTATACCTAACTGTGCTCACTACTTAGTTATTTATAGACAAGCAAGTGAGAAATAAATAAACAGCGGGTTAATGTTAAGACAATATAATTTATTTTCGTAAAGCAAGTCGTCTATAAAAACTAACCTTGTCGGACTGTTTCATTAGTTACTTAAAATGAATTAATGTTCAAATCAGTCTGTCTGACCATAGAGAAGGAAGTACCATAGTTACAAAAAAAAAAAAAAAACAAATAAAAAGCTCCGTGCTCAGCTGGGGATCTACTGGGAGCATGATCCCAACAAATACAATGAGGCAGACTCATAACACACATTACAGGGAAAGGACAAAAAACCAATTTTGAAAATCACTGCCAGGCCCCAAAGTAGTATACATACCCTTATATAAAGTTCTTTAGGGATACAAAACGGGCCTAGAGATGGGCAAGGACTGATTTTTTTTTCGTGTCAGCGTTCATTTATTATATTCGAATTTCGGGAGAGTTGCATTCAAAAAGACACGTAAATGATTAAAAAAAATTTAAGTAGAAATAAATAAAATATTCTCTTTAAAAATTAAATGTCAAAAATTTGTTATTTTATATTATTGTTTGACTACAATCCGTGTGCTGGCTTTTATGGAAGTAAAATTTTTTTTTTTTCAAAATTTATTTTTATACTCGTATTATGTAAAAATGGTATTGTTCATTTTGGCGATCGGTCCGTTCGCGCTACGGTCGTTCGACATATGTTTGACCTTAAAAATAAACCTTTATAAATTTCATTTGAAGTGGAAAAAATTCATAGTTTTCAATTTCTTTTTAATTTTGGCTTAAAATATTTTTCTTCTCATATCTGCATATCTTTTAATTTCGTATCGAGTCGTGCTACGCAAGATCTTCGCCGTGCGTATTATTAAGAATTCGATTCGAGGCCGGGTCGTGTCGTGTCGGTCCATGCCCATCTCTGGTTGGACCGCTCATTTATTTTCGATCTGAAGGGTAATAGTTTCAATAAAAGGGATAATTAAATGATTCTGTTGTTGGTTTAAAAAAGATTTTTAGATGGTCTTCCCTTATTAATTTTGTAGCTTTTGATGAGCCATTAGCTATGGAGCTATCTCTTATACTTACACTCTATAGGCTTCTGGGTTTAATTGGCATACAACTTTTCTACAAATGCTTTACTATCCTATTAAGTTAATGCTGAGAGTCGCACAGAAAATTGTATGGATGTATTATAATTATACGCGAATTCTTTCTATGTATGCCTTGCCTAATAGTTGCATCTGAATGGTGTTGAGCTCGCTATATCTTAATATATCTCTCTGTCTTTCTCTCTATCTCTCAATGACACTATCTATCTTTCAAAATAAGAAAATTAAAAAGAAATCTTCAAATTTATGCAAATGCAACAAATAATAATATGAGAAAACAAATTGAACCTGATGAAATGAAATGTCTCCATTAGCAAGAATTAACCACAATGCTTTCATTCTATGCACTGGCTATTACAGGTTCTCGAAGACCAAGTCTAGCGTCTGTCCACAGCACAAGCTCCTCGGTGCGCAGCTACAGCATGATGCGCTTCGAGAAGGAGGTGCAGCAGAAGGAGATACGGCAGGAGATGAAGTTGCGTCTGGCGCGGCTGCAGCAACAACAGCACTTGACCCAGAACAAGCCTCAAATAGTAATAGGGGAGGCACTGCTTCAGCATGGGGCACTCAGTCGCGTCACTATGGCCACGCCCAGTCCCCTGACGCCCAACTCCTTGGACGAGCTGTTGCCATCGTTGGATGAGAACCAGGAGGTAAGTCTCAAGCTTTTCGTTTGGCCTGACCCTTCGAAAGCCATTCGTGCATTGGTCCATTGGTCCATTGGTTCATATCTCGACAGTATCCGCCTAGGCTGGAGACAACATTCAAGCAGCTAGTACAGCCCCAGGTGCTGCGCAACATAACCACAACCCCAAGTCCAAAAGCCAGTCGCACAAGGAGTGCACCAATGGCCGAACACGCGCAGGACCCTAATGCCAATGGATATAATGGTCCTTGCAGCTCATCGACTGAGGCACTCTAAAAATGGTCTTAAACAGTAGCTTATATATAGTATATAGTACAAGTAGTAGACTTTATTTATTACATAAAATTAGTTAAATTATAATTAGCTACAATAATTACTGTAAACGGAATTACTTAAGGCAACTGGTTTAGGTGTTTGGGAAATGGTGTTGATGCTTAGTTAAATTAATTTAACGTCAAACGTGTTTAGTTATAGTCAGTTAGATTATGTTTAACATAGTAAGTGGCTCTATCTTGGCAGCCAAATCGTACATGTACTTGTATAGTACAAGTATGTATGTAATTGTGGTCGTCATACGAGTACATATATACTACATAGTATACTACAAGTAGTATTGAATTGATAATACGAGTATATTTGAGACATTTTATACGTATTGACATACTATTTTGTAGAAATTATACAAATCGCACGAAAATTTGGCAGCATACGCGATTAGGGACGGGGCAGTACGATTTTTTTTACAAAAAAAAAAGAAGAGCATAACCTTAAACCTGTTAACCTGTACATAATAAATACATTTAGTGAGTTTCACAATGTTTGTTAACTGATTAGACATAGTAATACTATCTGTTCAATAGAATACCTAAGAAATTTTGCATACAACATTGTCAAAAGATTTCACAATCAAAAACTCTGTCGTAACTGTTCATTATAGAATTGCTAAAAGGAAATGCGCAATAAATGTAAATGAAAAATGTTAATTATTTTTGATTAGTTCTGCAAAACAAAAACCAAAAAAAAACAAGAAAGGAATGCTAAAGTCGAGCAGGCTCAACTCTTAAATACCCTGTACCACCCCACAAAAAAGTAATTAAATTAATTAATTAATTAAATTTAATTAATTACCTAAATTAATTTAATTAATTAACTTAATTAACTACATTAAATATAAAATATTCCATGCATGCATACATACATTTACATTTACATCAGAATCGTGCCTTATGCGTGTTTGTGTACTTGTACATATGTATGTATGTGTGCATTGGGCCTGGTTATATGGCTATAACTTTCTTTCCGATCATTCTATCATAATGAGACTTGGTATACGGTTATATAATAACTAACCGAATGTGACTACCAAATTTGAGTTGAAAATTCCAAGAATTACGGGAGTTATAGAAAATCAGTAATAGGGGGGGAGTGGGGGGGTGGATCAGAAAAAATGAACAAACTCGTCCTTTCTCGGTCTCAGGAGAATCTGTATACCAAGTTTGGTTATTCTAGCTCTTATACTTTCGGAGATCCTTGCGTTCATACAGACAGACAGACAGACGGACAGACGGACAGACAGACGGACAGACGGACATGGCTATATCGACTCGGCTTGTCATGCTGATCAAGAATATATATACTTTGTGGGGTCTACCAAGCCTCCTTCTGTGTGTTCCATGTGCACTCGCACAAAACTAATATACCCTTGTACCCTTTGGGTACAGGGTATAAAAATGGAAGACATTTGTGTAAATAAAGCAAGAGATCTGTAAAGAATATTACCTAATAATTATACTAGAAGGTAAAGCAGGCAGATGAACAAAAACTCTTCTAATTCTATTCGCGAGCAATAGTAAAAATTTGAAAGACCTCAAGATATTTCATATTATTCTTTACAAGGCAATGAAAATATGAACTGTACTTCATTTCCTTTTACCTTTTTTTATGATATACATACATATGTATGAAAATGTATAGACTCATTTTAATTTTAATAAAACAATATTATTGTTTTTATACTCATGAACATTTTCAATGAAATGAAGACAATACCTGACTTGATTTATTTGCAAAACTTTCTTTTCTCCTGAGTTCAAACATTGTTGAAAAATTACTGGAAAATGTTAACTTGTTCATTTTATTTTATAGATCATCTTATTAAGTTGAGTATTAAATATTCATGTCTAAAAGACGAGCATGGGAAGAATTCACGATTCAATTTACCTTTTTTGTACCTGTCTTGATATGATTTCAAATATTTTTGAATATTTAAACTATTTATATTTTCGATTAAAAAATTGTATTGAACAACTGTTGCATTTCTAAGAAGCAATTTTATTTAAGCTATTTATTGGAAATATTAATTACTTGCGAACCCGCTTATGAGCTAAGAACAGTTTGCGACTGACAGTAGTTTGTGTTGCGAAAACTAACAATTAGATTAATGGAAACGACACTAAACTATGTATGTAGTATACTTAGTCATACTTATGTTGAAATGTATAATAAAGTCAATCATGTTGAAGCATACTGACACGTATATACCCTACAGTTGAGTACTGATAAGAGAAATGAAAAAAAGAATTTATAAAATCGGTTTATACATAGATTGTACCTATTTAACATATAAGTGGAAACACATACTAAAATACAGCGATATACAAAATAATGGGTTGGCAAGTGCATTGAATTGGCCGTGAGTATTCAAAATTTAATGGTGCTGTTTCTTTTATTGAAGTTGTTCGAAATCTTTAAAAAAAAACATAATTAACCTCGTCCAAAGTGCTTGCGAAATCATGTGAACAATAATTATATGGAATTTAAAATATTAAAACCACTTATAATTTAAATAGTTTATGTTTTCAGTTTAAGGTAACACGTTTCTTCAAGAAGTTTCTCAAAATAGAATGCCATATGTTTTCCTGAAATTTGAATTCTTTAAACACACAAAAATATTGATCTTTTACCCAAAGAATAATTTGTAAGGTTTCCGACCCTGTGAATCTAATGATAATACTAAATATACATTGAAGTGAATATAAATCTATTCAAAATAGTTCCAATCCAAGCAGACTTCTGCTTTTCTTTCTATAGTTGTGTATTTATTTTCTCTAATGTAAATATTATCTTAGAATGTATCAAAGATTTAAAGCCCTATTTCATTCTCTAGCAAATATGTGATTTCATTTTGCTTTCTGAGTTTTTTTACCCGAACACATACATAAAAGTTGGAAATATGGCAGCAATACATATCAGAAAACATACAAAATGAATGGATTTATTTGGAATAGAAGAGGGCCGGGCGTTTTAAGTGTCCGGACAATATGTTATGCTACGAGTTGTCCTAGTTAAAAACTGTTCTTACCATCCTTATTGCTCCTTTCTATAAACTATTCCTGAAATGTGAGATCTAGTTCACATACTCCTACAAGTACATATGTATTTAGTTTCAGAGTTCTGTATTTTAAAGAAAGCGTTCTACTCTTCTATGAGTCTCTGCATTTTTCAAAGTTAAATCGATAGCATCTATATTCAAGAAGATAATCCAATGGCAGGACATATTTTGTTAATAGAGTACTTGTACGATATCTACCTAAATAAAAAATAATTGTAAACAAATAAACTAAACATTTGCTACGAAGGTTGTTTAAAAGAATGAAATAGCCTAGCATCTGAAAACTATGCCGTATGCGCAAAAAAGCTGATAAATAGAAAATTCACCATTAATGACAGTCTGAATACCAACTCGTTCAATATTTTGCTGAAGCCTAGTTGCATAGGTGAGCAAATTGGTAAATAACAAAACAATTAAAGTCTAGTCCTATCCTATACCTAAAGGTGTACTGTATTTGTTTGTTAAGATATAAATTAAATGTATATATTTATTAATTACCACGCCGGTGTTGGAAAATAAATAAGTTATATTAGAAAACAAGTAAAACATACACACAGCAACGAAATGATTTTGAACAAATGCTTTCAAGAAACTCGAACAAAAGTGTAAGTGTCCGCTTTAGAGGTGGATTGGAGAATCGGTGAAAATTCAAAGCTACGATCAACCAGGCAAATAGTTTGCACATTTCGAACTTTCGAACAATACTATAAAGGACGAACATATTTTATAGTCTTTTAAAATTTGTGTGCAAACTATTTGCCTCACACTTCAAAATAATAAAATGAAAGGCTTTCACAGTTGCTCTATTCAATCCATTACCATGAACGAAATAATGTATTTCTCTGAACAGCCATAAGAATAATAACGATATTGTTACGATATGCTCGAGCTCTGCTGATACTAGAGAGTTTCTTTATTTATACAAGTATACCATATATAATTTAGCTGAAACTGTGTTTAGAGTTCAAGAAAATTGTGCAATAAATCGAAAGGCCAACGCGAACGTATTCAAATTTTGCTTTCCTGTATTTTAGTCAACTTCCTCGATAGTGGGGCCACTGCCACTGCCAGTACCACCGCCCACTCCTCCACTAGGTCCACCATTGTGGGACGATGGAGGCGTTACGCCGGCACTCTGGTAGAGACGTGTGATGATCGGACTGCAGATACGCTCCAACTCCTGCTGTTTATGATCGTACTCCTCCTTTTCGGCCATCTGATTGCCATCCAGCCAGCTGATGGTCTCATTACATTTGTGCAGAATGGTGTTGCGATCGGAGTCGTTAATGCGCGTGCGCAGCTGCTCGTCGTCCAAAGTGCTCTTCAGATGGAAGCAGTAGGACTCCAGCTGGTTCTTGGCATTGATGCGATCACGTTGTTGTTCATCTGCCTGGCGATAAGACTCGGCTTCATTGACCATCCGTTCGATGTCCTCCTTGCTCAGACGTCCCTTGTCGTTGGTGATCGTAATCTTGTTCTCTTTGCCCGTCGACTTATCGGCAGCAGCCACATTGAGGATGCCGTTGGCATCAATGTCAAAGGTCACCTCAATTTGTGGAACCCCACGTGGTGCTGGCGGAATACCACTTAGCTCGAATTTTCCCAATATGTTGTTGTCCTTTGTCATCGCACGCTCACCCTCGTACACCTGAATGAGCACGCCCGGCTGATTGTCGGAGTAGGTGGTGAAAACCTGGGTCTGCTTCGTAGGTATTGTTGTGTTGCGCTTAATCAGCGTCGTCATTACTCCACCAGCCGTCTCAATGCCCAGAGACAACGGTGTCACGTCCAGCAGAAGAAGATCCTGCACTGCCTCTGACTTGTCGCCATGCAGAATGGCCGCCTGTACGGCAGCACCATACGCCACAGCCTCGTCCGGATTTATAGACTTGTTCAGCTCTTTGCCGTTGAAGAAATCCTGAAGCAAACGCTGTACCTTGGGTATGCGTGTGGATCCACCAACTAATACAATATCATGTATCTGTCCTTTATCCATTTTGGCGTCGCGCAATGCCTTGGCGACCGGCTCCATGGTGCCCCGGAAGAGATCGCCGTTCAGTTCCTCAAAACGCGCTCGCGTTACGGAGGTGTAGAAGTCGATGCCCTCGAAGAGCGAGTCGATCTCAATGCTGGCTTGCGTTGAGGCAGAAAGGGTGCGTTTGGCACGCTCGCAGGCTGTGCGTAGGCGTCTCAACGCCCGCTTGTTCTGGATCAGATCCTTTTTGTATTTGCGCTGGAACTCCTGCACAAAGTGATTCACCATACGGTTGTCGAAGTCCTCGCCGCCCAGATGTGTGTCGCCGGCCGTGGACTTGACCTCAAAGATGCCATCCTCGATGGTAAGTATTGAAACGTCAAAGGTGCCGCCACCCAGATCGAAAATCAACACGTTACGCTCGCTGGTGCCCTTCTTGTCCAGCCCATAGGCAATGGCCGCCGCCGTCGGCTCATTGATGATGCGTAACACATTGAGGCCGGCAATGGCGCCCGCATCTTTTGTGGCCTGTCGCTGAGAGTCGTTGAAGTAGGCGGGCACCGTAACCACAGCATCGGTGACAGTGCTCCCCAAATAGGCCTCCGCTGTCTCACGCATCTTGGTTAGGACCATCGATGAGATCTCCTCCGGATAGAAACTCTTCTTCTCGCCCTTGTACTCGATCTTAATGCGCGGCTTCCCGTTATCGGAGATCACCTCAAATGGCCAATGACGCATGTCGCTCTGCACGGTCGCATCATCAAATTTTCGTCCGATCAGGCGCTTAGCATCTGCAAGTTATAGAAATCAGCATGAAGCTAACACCGCTTATTGTCATTTTAGGATTTGTTTATTAACTAACAGTGAATGGACGGGGCTTAAACAAATATACATAATCAAATATTCAGATCTAGATTAGGTCTGGTGCGTGCCAAGCAGCTGAAAGATATTCGCGAGCGAAGGCGTAGGATTAGGCTGGACTAGGCTAGGCAGGGCAGTTTCTAAGTAGAGTCTGAGACTGAAATGAAAATACAAAAAAGAAAGAAGTCTCGCATTAGACTTGCGCACATCTCGTTAACTGGGACTTTCGATAAGCTTTTAAGTGGGAGGGATAGAAAGAGGCCCTAAATAAAGAAAAATGTGGATATATATATTCGAACAGATATCACACTGTAGAAAAGTCTATGTGGTTGTATCGGAAATGTGGATTCCTCAACCATTTGAGTTCATTTGAAATTTCAGATCCTTGCCGAAAAACTACTTCTCAATAGACGAGTATGTACATACATACTTGTATGTACGACTGATTATACCATGCACAATATTTTTCTATTTCTTTTGGCTCCTTCCTTCCCCAGCCGTAGCTTTAGGCGATAACTATAATAAATATTTAAAAATATCTTTAATTGAAATGGAAATTACAATTATTTATTAGCTCTTGAAAAGGGTCCTAGTGCTGTAAATATAAAATAAATAAAAAAGCTGTTCAGTGCTAAACACTTTCCTAAAATAATTTCCTGAAATAATAATTTACTACAAGTATGTGCAGAAGCAAGATAGCTCTGCCTAATTTCTTTTTCTATTCGTTTGCATATTTTGGTTAAAAAAAAAAAAAAACAATAATAAGGCGATAATCATGTAACTTCGACTTATTTTTATTTTCATTTATCTATCTCTTACCTATTTGCTTATTTTTAAATGAACTTGTTATAGCCTGTAGCGCTAGGTTAGGTGGGTAGATTTATTAATCAAAAATTGAATTTTCCATACATAAGTATGTATGTATAGTAGTATGACCTACTTAGGCATTGTTGTTTATTGGCTATGACCGAAATTTAGCTCCGTATGAACAATATTCATTTTTGTTTACTCTAAGACTATTTTTATTTGATTGCCATTTTGACAATCCATGACATAAATTACGCCAATAAGCACTGAAAATTCTTGAGGATTTGTCGCTTCGTAGGGGCTGCCAAATGCATGCTCTGCACACGCAAAGGCCAGGGAGCTCCGGGAGGTGGCACATGGGCGATGAGAAGCGACACAACAAGTGAATGTGTCAAGCAGAAGCCAACATAGAAAAGCATTTACATATGTAGAGGAATTTCTAGGCGCACAAGCATGTATGCAGGTGTAGGTTCGGGCACGCTATAATGTTGTTTATCGTTTTTCTTTTTTTTTTTTTTTTGAGAAAACTTATTTCTTTGGCACCGCATTAAGACGCCTGCGAGTGATATTTTCTTAAAATAAATGAACAAGTGAGCGCAAACTGCATTTCATTCATGAAAGCGTTTCGCATCAGTCGCAAGTAAATAGAATTATGCTATTTTTATATCAGCATAATTCGCATTGGACATTTGTGAAGAGTCAAGAATCTCACACTCACCGAAAATTGTGTTGTTTGGATTCATGGCCACCTGATTTTTGGCCGCATCACCAATCAGACGCTCAGTATCGGTGAATGCCACATAGGAGGGCGTGACCCGATTGCCCTGATCGTTGGCAATGATCTCAACTTTGCCATGCTGAAAGACCCCGACGCACGAGTACGTTGTGCCAAGATCAATGCCAACCGCTGGTAATTTGGGCATCTTTGTTGCTGTGGCTTTAATTAGATGTCGCCGACGGCCACAACATGCACACGAGCGTTACGAATTTCATAAAGAGAGGGAGGTATTTAGAAGCAGAAAAGAAAATTTTCAAATGAATACACAATCGAGGCAATCTACATTTTACATTCAATGTATTACACAATCATTCCCATACAGGACATCCATATAAAAACTCACCTACGAATTTTTGCCGAGCTCACCAGCTTCGTTATTAGAAGGCGAACCGATAGAGGTACAGGGATATGATCAAAAACAGAAGTACAAATGTTAAAACTCGCAGGAATTCGAGTGCTTTCTCTCTTTGCAGCTCCACAGCGTCTTTTGTTTATTCACACCGTGCCAGAATGAAATAACAATAATAAATATATATATATATATTATACTGCCTTCGAGAACAATTGGTTTTATGTTAAAATCATTTGAAATTAATTAAAAATATGTTCGCGTCGCGATAGCTACAAGACAACTGATCATTAAACACATAATTGCTAGAAAGATACCCAATCGCCGAAAATACTTAACAGGCGCGCAAGAGAGGCTGTTAGTTAACAGAACCATACAACTTTAAATTCTGTTAAACAGCGCTCAGTTGTAGGCAACACAAAAAATAAAAAATGTTATCATATACTTAGTATTCCATTGTAAATTTAGTTTAAATTTCATTTCCATTGTCGTTTCAATGCAGATTTTGAAAAGAGTATTAGTATTATTTTGTTATAGTAACGTTTATTAAGATTATTAGTATTATTCCTCGTTTGTTATCGTATAGAAAAACAATCGAACTAACATTTCATAAGTACTAGAAATGATGTGAACTTTGATGTTGTAATGCAATGAAAATGCTTTGCAAAAATGGAGAGTTTTGTTTGTAATATCAATCGATTTTATTAAGGAAAACCATAATGTGCATCGAAAGCTTGCATAATGCTTGACTTACTTATTTAAATCTCTTTAGATTTGGTTGCTATAGTTGTATCTGCTTTCAGTAAAAACAGAATTGGAAATTAAATAAACTTCGCAACGGAACGCTTAAGTCGCATGTAATTCTTAAATATACAAATGTATTTTCCCATAGTAATAGAACTGAACAGACTCAGTTCTTTTGTGATAATTGTTTAACAACAAAATAAATCGCTCATTACTCAGCAGCTATGAAATTATATACATACATATAATATAAATATGCAACAATGTATTTACAGACATTTAAAAGAATTTTAACTTTTCTGCGGGGGTATTATAATTTTAACTATCGCAATTCCACAGCCCATAGTCATAACTTAATAATTAGCTCCAAACAGTAAACCACAGCATCTTTGCATGTACTTATTATTGTATGTATGTTTATTTACTTTATATATTAACAAAGTACTAAACATATAGTGGTGTACTACTCGTATTACTTACATGTTAAAAATGCCCACAACTTTTCAAACATACTCAATATTAGCTTACTTTTATTTTATTTTCAAAATACATAATTATACATTACGAGTACATATTTAGTATAAATGACGAGGCGCTGCGCGGTGATTTAATTACCCGCAGAATCAAAATACAGTTTCCTTTTTTTTATAACAATTATGTATTATTTGTACATCCTCTACTCAAAGTGTAAGGAGGCATACTAGTTTAGTGAGAATGTATGAAAACCCCACAATAAAGCGTGGCAGAGCCCACAAAGCATATGTATTCTTAATCAGCATGACGAGGGGAGTTTTCGCTCTACCGATAACGGAGTAGGTCAAGGGTGTAGGCAGGGGGGAGCAGCTCAGATTAAGTCGGTGCAATATTCAGTTTAATACTTAACAAGAAAGGAATGCTAAATTCGAGCTCAACTCTTAAATACCCTGTACCTCCCACCAAAAAGGAAAGTTATTTTTTAAATGCATCGTGCATTATTTAATCAAAATTTTAAATTTTTGGGCCCCCCTTTGGTAAAAGCTGCCTACGCCCTTGGAGTAGGTTGTTATTTTTTGTTGCCTTTTCCAGCTACTATTTGTCATGTTATCACTGCTGTTGTTTTCCACTCCGCACAAAAAAAAAGACAGGAAAAAATAGTCCCATGAAACTTTTTTGTGGGCGTAGATGAAGGGTGGTCAAGAAGTGCACACGCTTGACTTTTTCAATACTCTATTTCCAAATTTATTTAGATTTATACTTAGACCCTCATCTTGAGCAAGTGTGACTGGCCGAGTATAAAGCACACTGCAGTGCACATTGCACTTCAGTCAGTAGCTGGAAAGGCTGTTCATTTTGATAATTAGGCTGCAAACTTCTCAAATCGATAAAAATATGCTTTTGGTATTGGTTGTTTGTATGCTGATGGCCAGCGCCCAAGCGAGGTCTAACACCTATATAGTCGATGATGAGTGGAGTGCCTTTAAATTGGAGTACAACAAGTCCTACAACATGGCGGCGGAGGACAATCGCCGTTACAACATTTTTACGAATAACAAATTAATAATTGAAGAACACAATGAGCGCTGGAAAAATGGTACCGAAAGCTATCAGATGGGCATAAATCAATTTTCGGATATGTTGCCTGAGGAACTTGAGCTGTACACGACTGGACGCATCTCTAGCAGCCAAATGGCTGAACAGGGTAACCATACTGTGATCTTCATGCCACCACCACATGTGACCCTACCAAAGGAGGTCGACTGGCGAGAGTATAATGCTGTAACCCCGGTTTTCAAACAGGGGGACTGTAGTTCTTGTTGGGCTGTTGTGGCCGCTGGAGTTTTAGAAAGTCAATATTTTATGAAGACAAGGCAATTGATTCCACTCTCCGTTCAGAATTTGTTGGACTGTTCTTCTAAATACGGCAACTACAACTGCAGTGGTGGCTTGGCCCGAAATGCTTTGAAATACGTGAGAGATAACGGAGGCGTTGATACACAAAAGGCATATCCATATAAAGGCGTATCCGAAATGTGTCAATATCAACAGAAAAATGAAATACCAATAACTATAGAGCACATTTGTAATATTCCAAAAGGTGATGAGCGGGCCATGGCGTTTGCAGTCGCCTTTATCGGGCCGGTTGCTGCTGGTATTAATTCGATTACTGGGTTACATGGCTACAAAGGAGGCGTATTCTACAACAAACATTGTAGTCAAGTATTGACTCATGAAGTGCTTGTCATTGGTTTTGGAACCGATCCACAGGAGGGAGACTATTGGCTCATTAAAAACTCCTGGGGTACGGCTTGGGGTGAAAAAGGCTTTGGCCGCATTGCTCGTAACAGAGATAATCAGTGTGGGATTGCCAGTGACGTGTTAGTTCCTTTAATATGAAAAAAAAAATCATAATTTTCCAACGCAAAGCAACAATTTGAATACTTGTTTGTCTCAAATTTCCATAGCATATTGTCCAAATTATTGTTAAATCTAATAGAAATAAAATTACTTAAATTATCAAAAACTATCAAACATGTCTAAAGTTTTGGATCAAAGCAAATGGGATTCAAGTGCCATTAAACATTATTGCAGCATTCCACGTATACAGAAGCATCTGCGAAAGGCCAATTGGTCGTATCTGTGCAGCCATCCTGAGGTGAACGCATTATTATTCTCCTCCCTTTTTCACAGCCTTCCTAATATTCGTATCGTATTCAGATTCGTGCCATTATTCGCGTCATACTGCACCAGACCCTCAATGCCAATCCCTCCGATGTCCGACAATTTGTGGGAAAATTTTTTAACTGCGGCACGACCCCGCTGCTGGTACCACTTGTAAGTGAAGCCGAATATTAGCTAGAAAGATGAAAATACAATACAATATGTATTTCTATTTCTCATTCTTACCACACAGATTAACGCCCAACTCAAGTACGTTAAGGATCAGTTGAAACGTGGTCGCTGGAGCGAATACGATGCGGAAATGCTGTTCAAGGAGAGTCCCTCCACCCACTCCTTACTGTCGAATGCCTCCACGGAAGGTAATGTACATCCGGTGCTGACCTATGCTCTGGTATTTAAGATGCCCGATGAATGTGGACTCGACCCGCCACCTTTCTGAAGCTAGACATTTCATAAAAATTCGCACTCTCCCGCTGCGCAAGTCCTATTGAATGAGTATTGAATGTTTTTGGTGACGTAACTATAGAATTGCCTTAAAAACTAAGTATATTCATGTAGAAATCCAAATTGATAAAATTACATTAAAAAATTAAAATATATTCAGAGACCAATTCTTATAAATATTGCTTACTGAGCCGAAGGTGTGATCAAGAGAATTTATATATAAAAATATACTCTTGATTAAGTAATAATTAACTGTGGTATACGGGTATGTTTTAACGCGAGTAGAACGTTGAAGTCATGTCAGCCCGGCTCTTGAATACGCTTTACTCACAAAAAGTACAGCTCTTCAAGTAAAATACATTTCTTTGCATCGATAATACCCATGACAGTTACATGATATAATCAACTGATTTGGGTAATTCTTCCGATTATGTTAATATATATATTATTGTATTTAATTGTGATATTGTAATAAGCAAAAAAGTTGTTGGCATTAACATTAATACGTTTTTAGATCGCTGCTATGATAGCTATATGATATAGAGCGCCGATTTCATGAAGCACCATATTTTATTATGTGTGCTATTGTAGGTGCCTACACAAAATAATTCGGCCATTCGTATATGATTTTTAATTTAGTTTGCGGACGCATGAGACAAGTGTTCATATCAATATTTTGTTGCTCACATATGTGGTTGTTAATCTGATCATCCACATGGCATTTAGAATTGCTATTACACCCTTGACTTTGATTGAGAATCAACAAATATAAACATTAAGGTCAAAGATTTTAAAATCTATCGATGATGGCCTGATCCTAAGATCGAACAGTATTTGCAATGAAGGCGCCTTAAAGAATGAATGCAAATTATTTGTTGGCCTATCCAGTAACGCATACAACATATAGCATTGCTTGGTCAAGTATTTACCCCTATAAATGGGTATACATATGTACGAAGTTATCAACGATACTGTCGTGGCACTAATTCTAACCCTGAGCCTTCCATACTCAGTACGAAGTAGCTGCTGTGTAGCGGAGGTTGTTCTGCGAGTTGTGCTTAAATTTTAATAAAATGCTAGTAGCAGTGACTCTCTTGGCACTTATAGCCAGTGCAAAGGCTATATCCATTGCTGATGTTCTCGTAGCAGAGTGGAAAGTGTTCAAGGTGAAGCACAAAAAGACTTACATTGATGAGGCAGAGGAGATGCGAAGATTTGAAATTTTCAACAAAAATAGACTAACAATTGCCAAACACAATCAGCGCTGGGCATCTGGAGAAGAAAGCTACGAAATGGGTGTCAATAAGTTCGCAGACCTTCAACAAGAAGAGTTTGAGCGCAAATATCTTATGGATGATGTACCTGAGATCGATGCTGATATGGAAACGGTTTATATACCCACCGGCTTTGGATCACAACCACAACACGTCGATTGGCGTCAAAAGGGTGCTGTGACTGCTGTTAAAGATCAGGGTGGTTGCAAATCCTGCTGGGCTTTTTCAGCAACAGGTGCAATGGAGGGGCAGCATTTTCTCAAGACTAAGAGACTTGTTTCGCTTTCCGAACAAAATTTAATCGACTGTGTTACACAAAATTATGGCTGTGATGGCGGGAAATCAGCGGTAGCTCTTCGATATGTCATAAAAAATAATGGAGTTGATACCGAAAAGTCGTATCCATATAAAACCAAAACGGGTATTTGCCAATTCAATAGATGGAACATCGGAGCAACTTTTTCTGATTTCATTCACATATCAAAAGCCAATGAGACCGATTTAGCTAATGCTGTGGCTACAAAGGGACCCGTTGCGGCTGCCATTAATGCCCCTCTCGGCTTCCAACTCTACAAAAATGGCGTTTACAATAATTCACGCTGCAAACGTCGTTTGAATCACGAGGTACTCGTGGTAGGCTATGGCTGGGATGACAGAGGAGGCGCTTATTGGCTGGTGAAGAACTCGTGGAGCAAATCCTGGGGCGAAAACGGATACATCCGCATGGCTCGCGGTAGAAATAATCAGTGCGGCATTGCGGATAGAGCTCTATATCCTGAGGCTTAGTTTCTTCTGCTCAATCGATTGGTCGCACATAATTAAAAGACCTATTTTATTTAAAACTACATACTACTAAAGAAAATTGAACTTAATTTTTTCTTATTGCTTATAAAATAGTTTTGTTCTTGAATTAAGAGATTCATTACATTTATTGGGTAATAAATCGATATAAATACACACTCGGTAATTTCAATTATAAAATACATTATATAAATTATAAAATAACATTTTCTCGTCTGCCAGCATATTCCATTCCGTGATCCAATTAATCATCGTTCCAGACCACCAGCATTAAAAGTGCAAGTACAAGTATAGATGGAATTCGTTTCGGAATTTGTCTGAAGCTGAGTCAACTCTCCCGTAGCTTCTTTATACATATGTACATACATATGTATGTATATATACATTTTTTTTAAGTTTTTGTTGGTTTGTATGCACATCAAAAACTCGAACAAATTTTGAGACCGCATATAATGGGTTAAAGATCAAAGATCAAAAATCAAATTACCTTAGCTTGTATCACCACAAGAGCCACTGAAAACTTTACTTTCTGGATCTACCGCTGAATCGAAGCATTTCCTATCATCACAAAATATAATTCTCACTTTCAAATGAGTTCATTCGGTGCTGAAAATGTCACAAATCTGGCTCCCTGCTGCCGTTTCCATGGAGCTAAAGGCCAATCCTTGGAATAGTGGGGTCTAGAATGAGATGCGGATTGGACACCTATAAGTTCTGTGCTTCCGTGATGGCAAGCCAGATAGTCCTTATATGTACGTAGACAATGGAAAATAAAAAGAAAATATTGCACAAGTATTGTAAATTAGCAGTACCTTTCTTATTTTATCTTTTTTTTTTCTTTGAAAACTTCAATTTAATTTACTAAGCATTTAGAAAAGTCGTTCAAACAATTCTATATATATGTGTATATATTTATATATTAAAGTTTTGTATAAACTTTCATAAAATATGAATTATAAATCATGTATATATACATTTTTTATTTATTTATTTTCTCCAATGGAACAGTATGGCATATGAAGAAAGCTTACTAAAACATTTTGAAACGTTTTGTTTGGAATGGCAACTTGTTTAGTGAGTACATCAACATTGTTTGGAATGAAACGTTCACATTTATTTATTTATTTGTTATATCCCTACCGTAAGGGTCAACAAGTATACTAGAAAGTTGAAACGTATGATCAGCATGAAGAGACAAATCGATATATGCATGTCTGTCCCTATGAACATCGAAAGCAAAGGATATAAAACTTGCAAAGAACAAGAAAAGAAATTTGATTAAATGTCAGCTACATGTCTATCCTTACACCAATGGATAAACTCCCCAGTCAGCGATACCGCATTGGTTATTTCTATTGCGTGACATGCGAATGTAGCCCTGCTCTCCAAAACCAATGCCCCATGAATTCTTAACCAACCAAAAGTCGCCTCCTCTGGGATCGTTGCCATAGCCAACAATAAGCACGGCATGATTTATATTGCGGCTGCACTTGGGATCGTTGTACACGCCCCCTCTATATGATTGCAAATGGGAAGCGTCAATGGAAACCGCTATGGGACCCACGGTGGCGACAGCATTTGCCAAAATTCCTTCGTTACCTCGTTCTAAGTGGACGACAGATCTGACAGTGGCTCCAATATTGTTTTTATTAAATTGGCATTGACCATTAGCTGCTCTGTATGGATAGGAGCCTTCAGTATCAATGCCTCCGTTATCTTGTACATATTGAAGTGCCCGGTCGGCCATGCCTCCGTTGCAACCTTTATTGTGATAACGATTTGTGGAGCAGTCTACCAAATTTTGTTCGGATAATAAGATTAACTGGTGGGTCTTGCGAAAATGTTGGCCCTCCAGTACGCCCGTAGCCGCGAAAGCCCAGCAAGAACCGCATGCTCTTTGATTCTTTACAGAGGTAACAGCGCCAGCACCCCTCCAATCAACAGCTCCGGGTAGGGTCACATGTGCTGCTGGTATGTAGGTGATTCCCTCTTCAGCCTCACTTTCCCATGTGGTGGTATTGACGAATCCAAGCATGTAACGCTTGAACTCCTCGGGAAGTAAGTCAGAAAATTCGTTGAGTCCCATTTCATAGCTCTCTTCACCTGCGGCCCATCGTTTGTTGTGATCATCAATGATCCTTTTGTTGTTCTTAAAGACTTCTAAGCGGAATTCCTCTTCTGCCTCGGTCGAGTATGTTTTGCCGTGATCCAATTTAAATTCCTTCCACTCCCCCTGAAGCAGGCTCTCCTCCGATTTCACCGCGAGTTTCTCCTCATACTTCAGTTTGAAGGCCTCCCATTCTGCTACCAGGTAATCCTCGTAAGATAAGGCCTGTGCACAGACCACCAGCACCAAAAGTGTAAATATACCTATCATTTTTTAATAATTCTCACGACCGACCGGCGATAACTAATTCGCATTCACTTCTGCACTTTTCTAGAGCAGTGGCTTCCCTTATATACGAGCAAGGCGAGGTCCCATTATTTGTTACAATCACTACGATTTGCGATATTTTAAATAAACTTGTACATACACACATATATACAAGTACGATAGGCATTTACTTTTAGGTTGGGGAAGCTACTTTTAAGTTTGTACCCGCATAATTGTAATTGTTTTTAGTCGGACTAAATTTAAATTCAACAGCCAATGTAAGCATAATCTACATATTAGTGCACTTCGTGTACAAAAAGGAAAAATCGAAAAAAAAATTTTTTTAATTAATATTAAATTTATATTAAAATATTCAATAAGTGGAGACATGTTCATGTACAGTTCAAACAGCATAGATTTACATCAGAATCGTGTCTCTGCGTGTTTATATGCGTGTATGTATGCAGCACAAAGTTGAACCAAAGCAGCAACAACAACAGCTGCGGCCAGAGCTGCAGGCAGAGCATGAGCAGCGATTTTATTTATGGCTATAACTTCCTTCAGAATTGACCTATCATGATGAAACTTGGCATACGGATACATAACCACAAACTGGATGTATATGCCAAATTCCAAATTTCATATTCTTGATCAGCATGACAAGACGAGTCGATCTAGCCCTGTCTGTCCGTCTGTCTGTCTGTCCGTATGAACACCTGGATCTCAGAGACTATAAGAGCACAAAGATGCCTTATGTGTACGCTGTGCAAGTTTGTTTTATTTTTTTTATTTTTCCCCCTACTTCCCCCTTTTGGATCTCAGAGACTATAAGAGCACAAAGATGCCTTATGTGTACGCTGTGGAAGTTTGTTTTATTTTTTTTATTTTTTCCCCCTACTTCCCCCTTTTGGGGGTTTTCCCGATTTTCCATTCGTATAATCACCTATACCTCAGACACTATAAGGGAGACCAAATTTTAGTCCCAGATGCCTTATGTGAATACGCAGTGTAATGTGTATTTTGGAATTTCCCTCCCTCCCCCCTCTCCAAAGCAATCCATAACTTATATATAATATAATCTTAGAATATAGCGTAGTCTTTTAGGATTTTATTAAGCTTCTTCTCTTGAGAGCTTAACTAAGTAACCCCTAGCGGCAACAGTAAACACCAAATACAAATATTGACCATAAAAAAAGCAACACCTTACATAAATTTAATTTCAGGGAACCAACTGCATTAAAAGATATAAAAAGTTGTTAATTGGACAAATATAGACAGTAAAACTATCCAAGAATTTCCAGTAAAAGGTTTTGTCTGTCCCTCAGTACGTACACTTTACCGATAAGACTAGGTTTAATAATAACTCTCCACACACACATACATATGTATGTACTATATGTACATATGTATATTGATAATCATAAAAGCTATGAGTCAATAAACATAATTACACTATATATAACTAATTGTTTAATTTATTTTTGTTTTGAATTTGTGCATTTACCTGAAGCTGTTATTCCAAATAAAAGCAACAGCAATTCGATTAAATTAAAAAAAAAATATATATGTATTTCATATGAATTCTACTCACACATCTGAGTGTAACCCTAGAGCTAAAAAGCAAATGTACAAAAGAGAACCTTATCAGAATTAGAATGCGCGCCTTTATATCATTCGTTACCCGTATACCAAATACTTGTCTTAGACATTATTTTCTGTTGCATAGTGTGTACACACTGTAGCCGCTGCAGCTGAAAAAATTTGTGTGTGCTTAATTATAATTTCCGTTTAAATTATGAATTAATTAACACTCAACATAACATAGATTAACCATTGTCTTTTCAAGTCGATAAGACGTAACGCAGCAGAAAACCTCAGAAGCATGGTAAGCATATAACGTGGTGTCGGCCGACGTCGCGTTTCGGCCAAATTATTGCCCGGAAATATGGAATGTGCTGCTGGCCTGCGCATAGTGATTGACCAAAAATAGAATTGACCTGAAATAACATGCTACTCACACCTATTTAAATCTGTTAACCGTAGGCTGTGTTGGGCGCACAACTTGTCATTACGCTGGTTATGGTGAGCGTAATACAAAAGCTTAATCCCCACTACTCGTTCGCCAAGTGGATTCTGTGCCGTACCGGACTCTATCGCTATCTGCATCCAACAGACGACGAGTTACGCTCGAAAGCCGGCGTTCCCAAAGAGCGTCCGGCCAAGAGCAAACATAAGCAAAATGGTGTCGGCAGCAGCAGCGGCGGCGGCAGCAATCAGTTCCACATCCCACGCAACATAGAGGTGGAGCTGGAAACAACGCCGGTGCTTGAGCGAGACGTGGTCCATCTGCGCTACTTCACAGAATATCAGTGGCTTGTCGACTTTAGTGTCTATGCTGGCATAGTCTATGTATTCTCGGAGCTCTTCCACTACTTCTATCCACTCAAGCAGGAAGTCAATCTGAGCATGGTTTGGTGTCTTCTAGTCATATTTTTTTCAATTAAGCTGCTGTGTTCGCTTACCGTGCTGTACTTTCAAAGTGAGGAGTCTATCGGTGAGCGGTCAATGGTAATTGTAGCTTGCCTGGTTTACTTGCTAATTGCTATGATTGTGCTAATAATTGATGAGCGAATTTTGGAAACCGGTCTGGAGGATGCATACGCCAGTTTCAATGCGAGCGCATCAAAATTTCTAACCGACCAGGGTCTGCCATCGTCTGGACCAGCCTCTAAAATTGTTGTGAAATTCTTTCTGGCCCTAAGCTGCGGCCTACTCGGTTCATTGTTCACCTTTCCCGGTCTGCGTATGGCTAAAATGCATTGGGACTCGCTTAAATACTGCTGCGGCAATCGTGTGCTGCAAATCCTATTAAATCTGAGCTTTGTGTTGCCATTCATTTTGGTCATACTTTGGATAAGGCCCATTAGTCGCGACTATTTGACGGTGCGTGTGTTCGAGGGCATGCAACAACCTCTGTAAGTAAGCTGCAAAGAGCCATTCCAATTGTTAGTTAATCTCAATATGCTAAATGTTTACTATTTACAGACTGAAGCCACATGTTTTTGAGACGCTCCGTTTGCTGCTCGTGGTTTTTGTCGTGATAATGCGCTTTGCTCTTATGCCCATATATCTTCAATCGTACCTGAATCTCGCTTATGATAAAATCGTCGATCTGCGTAAGGAAGCCGGCCGGATCACAAATCTTGAGTTCCAGAAAAAGGTCAGTATGCAAAGAGATCTTTGAAAGCAACCATACACACATACACATACAAACATATTTCTCTATTTTGCAGATCTCTTCCATATTCTACTATCTTTGCGTTGTGACCCTCCAATTTGCCGCTCCACTAATTCTATGCCTGTATCTGACACTCATGTACAAGAGTCTCGGCGGCTTCAGCTGGGCGGGCATCTTCAAGGACAGTGTAGTGTTGCAACATGAATGCGCGGCCGACGCAGCACCACAATCGGTGGTAGAGGCGCCAGGCGCTGTTGCCGAACAAGAGTTCAACATATTGGAATCGGCGCAGTCGTTGCAGGCTTCATTTGCTAGTCTAAAAAATGTAATTCTGAAAATTGTTAAACTTTTTATGCAACTTTTTATAATATTCGGTTGCATTTTTCAGGTATTTTCGACGGAAGTCTACAAAGGTTTTCTCGGCTTTGCCACATGGTGGAGCTATTTTACGCTCTTTGCGACCTCCACGCTGGGCATCGTTTATCAGTCCTACTTTAACAAAACATAAGACATTCGCCGTTGAACCGCGCACACCAAATATGGTTGAGTTTTTTTTACACTTGTCACCACCAACAAAAACAACTTCACCGAAGTGTTGAGCAATTATGCTAAATTAACGTAGTTAGAGATTTTACTTTTCAAATTATATTTAAGAAGCCCATTGATATTGCTTTGTAGTGAGGCTAGAGTTCAAAATTTGTGTGTTTTTACGTACATAGGCCATAATGTATTGTAAATAATACTAATTTGTATATTGTTTATAAAGTTTGTAATAAAAAAAATTTTAACCAGCATATCCAAAAATTTATGACTCCGATGTGTTCAGTATTTAGTTACTCAGAAGTAATCAAAAAATGTACTATATAGGTATAATTTTGTGTTTACATTTTTTGCGTCCCAATAATCAGAACTTTCGTAATTTTGTAAATTAAAGTTGACAATGAATGGTTTCAGGAGACTAACTAATAATCCATAATTAAAACAGGAGTACGGTGCCAAAATCCTAACCCTGTAGCCACCTCTCTCCCAACCAAATACTAACTTAAATGAACTTTGAAATGTTTAACGTGGAATTGAACCTTAAAAAGATTTAACGATTAAAATTCGTATTGGCATTGATGACTTGTAACACCATTTATTAAACCATGTCCAATTTAACAGATAGATTTGCCATCTAAAATATATTTATATAACGCATATACCAATTGGATATGTGTTTTATTTTGGGTTAGCATGTATATGGGATTAGAATCTATGAATATTTGTTACAGTCCTTTTCTTTAAATCTTGCAAATGCCAATGACTCCGCATCCAATACGTGCTCCAGCATTTCCAGTCGACTTGCTCAGCTCATGGCCACCTTTGCCCAAATCATCGGGATCAGCATGAACAACTATAGTGCGTCCAATGATGCTGTTGGCTCCGAACAATGTTATCTGACAATCGGTAATGTTGACCTATAAACAATAATAAGCTTAAGCAACCAAGTTTTTGGTAAATAATTGTTTCACGCACTTTGGTAGCAGAGTTGCCAGCGGCTTCAATGTTGCCCAAGTCACCCAGGTGGCGGTTCTCGTCGCAAGGGCTGCCGTGCTCCTTGTTGTGGGGATTGAAATGAGGTCCAGCGGACATGCAGCCGTTGGTATTATCTCCAAACTCGTGCACATGGAAGCCGTGCAGACCCTTATCCAGCCCGTTTACTTCGCCAGTCACTTTGACAGGAGCGCCTTCTTTCTGTTCGAGTAAAAGAATATAATAATCTATCTTTAATATTCTGTACGCGTCCGATACGGCCATTAAAAATTGATAAGCTTTTGATAGTCACCACCAAGTATAATCAAGACATCTGTAAGTACCAGTGCACATATGTATGTATGTATGTATGTATACATACATTTGTAATATCTATATAATTTGTGTGTGTATACTAGGTATGCGTATTAAGCTTATATAATTGTGAGCTTGTTAAGTGACACAGCAGAAAAGCACGTTGAATGTACTCGTCGTCCCACCACAAATTATCATATTGCGCAAAGTGCGGTACGGTGCAAAGGCCGGCACTTTGACCTTAAAAATGGCTGCACTCAGCCCCAGACAAGGGTTTTGAATATTTTTATTAGCTATACACATTTAGGAACGCATTTAAACTCACCTCCTGCTCAAAATAAACGGTCCCCTTAGCATCTCCATTAATAACGCAAACAGCTTTGACTACCATTTTTATTTTGTAACAAACTACGTATGTTTAATTGCAAAGCGACCGCTCGGAATGTGAGTAGCAATAGAGACGATACATATATACATATGCTGGGAAACCTTCGAGAACCGCTCTTGATATGGTCACACTGTTCACCTTAATTCACCAATTCACCTTTCCCATCTCTTTCGATTTCGATTGCTTTATGTATAAACCAATAACATATGAATAAAGGCGGAAAAATTATGTATTTAAAAAATGTATATTAAATTTGTACAACCTCAATTGTAATTTTTTATGATATATCAAATAGTTTTTCAATTACTTGATGATAGGAATAAGAAATGGATCTATGTATTTCTAATTTATTAATGTCGTAATATTACTGTTTAATTTGTGGGTGTTTTATTAAAATTTTTAACCAAAAATAAAACTTTAGTGTAGGCTGTGTAGTATGTTCATCTTTTCGGTACTTAATAACATTGTCCTTCTTCTATTGATACAATAGCTGCTTTTAGTGATTTTGCAGGCTGCTGGTTTGGATTGCATATGCTACTGTTAATTAAGCTATCCACATCTGCTCTTAAAATGCGGAAGTTTATATCAGAATAATCCAGCTGACTGTATAAATATATGGGCAGACGATTGCTCATGACCCACACGCCTTGTCTGTCCTGATCTTGATCGACTTTAAGGTCGTTGGGGAATTGAATTAAGGACGTCGAGTTATCAACAAGTAGCGCTAGGTTGGCACGAATGTAAGGCTTCGAAGTGTCCCAACATCCGATGTTGTCCTTATGAACTTGTGTGTAAAACATGACACCATTTCTTGATATTCCCGACGTGGAAGACTGACCATTAAACCCTCGATCCCCGATAGCAACAAAGTATTTGGCCGTATCCTGAGCATTATTGACCCATAGAGACTCATCCCAAAGTAAATCAGCGGATACCATAAACTCCTAGAGTTAAAGAAATGTTATTAACTAATATTTAAGAAACATTGCAACTCACCTTAAAGCTTGCCATAGGATGAAAGTAAAGAACTCGTTGCTTGCTTTGCTGATCATGCGACAGGCTCATGCCAAAAACTCCATCAAGCCATTGAAAGTTCAAGCCATACACCTTAAAGTCCGAGGCCACTGGATTTGGATTGAAGTTGTAGTTTGTGACACGCCAGCTGCGACCCTTGGCCAAGCTATAGACAACGATTCCGAAACGCCAGACGTCTGTCACAAAAACATGTGCATCCTCACACTTATCGCGCACATCGACAACAATATTAGAGTGGAGAGAGTCCTGCTTGACTTGCTCTGGAGGCAACTCATAGCTAACAATCTGACGATCGGTGTCTAAATCAAAGGCCACAATTTTAGGGGGACAAATTTGAGTTAAACTTATTGTAGCATTCACAATTCCCGAATCAATGAGCCACAAACGATTGCATTTGTCGATTGCAGTGCGGTAAACCGAAATCAACTTGGAGCAATCCGGATTATAGGGATCCCCATGGGCCTGCCAATTTGGGTAGGGATTAATAGCCGGGGAAGTTTCCTTGGGTGGGTAGGGAATGGTGCCAAAACTGGCGGGTACACCATCTTTCCAACGAGGTGTCGTTATAAACAGTCGATTGCGATGGACATCAATGCCCAAGGGCAAGTTATTTTGGGGCACAAATTCGCTAAAAATAAAATAGACATAAAAAACTAATTAAACAATAAACAATACATATATCTGTATAGTATAAGTACAAGAAGTGAAACTGCCGTTCCGCAATGGTCAATCAATCATTCCATTCAAGGTTTAGTTGGCTATTGGCTATTCGATGGGTGGTGGTTCACGCAGCTAGGCTTTGCCAATACCGAGGCTCAACAGGTTTAGCAGCATTCAGCAGCTGCCCACTCCATACTCCCCACTTGCACTTACCCTCTCTTAATGGCCCGTTGCCGCTCCACATATGTTGGATATTCAAAGTCCAAGTATTTCCATTCATTTACCACACTGAACATACTGCCATCGCTTTTGTCGTTCTTCTGGATGGGCGAGAATTGCTGCAAGTAGGACAGCATTGGGCCCCGCTGGACATCATATCCATATCCGGTTCCGATTTCGAAATGATCTGTGGTTTGGACCAGTGTCCCAGCATTAATTGGCAAATAGATAATAATGCATTGAACGGTCGCAAGCAAAGAGAATTGATATGTAAACGATTTCATGGCTCATTTACAAAACTGGTTTTACGATTCGTTACAATAAATTCAAAAACACAACTTCGCCATCTCACAATCCAAACGCAACTGAGCTGAATTGAATGTATTGCCGATATTATGTTTATTTTTTGTTTTGCACTCAAATGTCTAAATTAGTTCATTGCTGGGGTTTCAAAGCTTCAAAGCGCGATACAGGGTGTTGGCCATAATGAGAGTTAAGCTTAAATGGCGGTAGATAGGCCAATTTGTAATTTCAAGAGTAGAGCAGAAAACTATGTATTCAAATGAATTACAATCTTTTTTAACACGGCGTTTAAGAATAACTCTTTGTGTCCATATTGTTTTAATCGCGATATGAGGTTAGAACGTTAATTCGACAAATTTATAGCTTTGTCGCTAAGAATTGAATAAATCTTTTTAAGGTAACCAAAAAAGGTTTCCACGAGGTTGAGAAATATAAATATTGCTATCACCTTGAGCTTTCTAATTGATTTAACCGCGACATCATTGAGGGCATCAGAATTATTAATTATTAATTAGAATCAGATTTGATTAATTATGCATTACTAATAAACGACACTCAGGTGTTACGAATACTTAAGTAAATGAAACACAATACTTTTACATTTGCTTTTGTTTTTAATACACAATTTGTCCAAACACTTAAATGGGATTTTCTTCATGAATTAGAAATAAAGTGCCATCATCATTTTGTATTTATACGTAGAAGGTTTATAATATTATTTATATTTGTATCCGTAAATTTGTAGATATTTTTTTCGTGTTTTTGTATATACTTTTATATATAGATATATATATTTATTTATATTTAAATCGATATAGGTAAAGGTATGTAGATAGGTAATAATATTCATTCGCCTGTTTGTTTGTTTGTTTGTTACTTGTGGTTGATTTTTTCCCCAATTTTTTCTCGCACATTCTGTCACATAGCTATAACATCTTAAACATCAAAATCATCAATTATTACAATCAATCGTATATATTTTTATACATACATATATAATTTTTGTTTTAATTCGCTTTTAACTTATTTTTATTTTATGTACTTAGAGAGTAGCGTCATCGAGCATATTGAATTCGTCAGAGCTAAGGGTTAAATCGTAATTTATGTTTTTGTTTTTCGTTTTGAAAAGTGTGCATGCAGTTTAGCCGTTGTACGGCCACCTTTAAAACACAATCTCACAGTTCTATTTGTAAACATTTCCTTATAAATTGTCTCTTTTTTTCCAGTAGGATCGGGGTTTTTCTTCTTTTTTTTTTGGCAAATTCAATATACAAGATGGAGATACTATTTTGCTTTGCTTTCTATTCTTTCTTTCAAGTGGGCTTGGTTGTTTCTTTTGTTTTATTTTCTCTCTGTTTGTTTGTTATGGGTTTGAGTTTGTGGGCCTGAAGACATCCCCACATATCGAATTTAGCTTAAGTTTCTTCCTTATCCTCCTTTCATTTGCTCTTGTGTTTCTTCTGTATGCGTACGCATCAGAGCACTTCGGATACATATTTAGGTCTTTTGGCCGCTTCAGCACCAGCATTGGCGCATTCATCATCAGCCCCTTCAATATGACCACTGTAATCGGTTGGCAGCTCCTCGTAGATAATCTCAGATTGCTGCTGTTGTTGTGCCGCCGTCTGCTGTTGGTGTAGCGATGCTGAGGCCGGATGTGCTACGGCCATCACGTGGTTCCGTTTGAGTGCAATCAGAGCACCAACACCACCACCGCCGCTGCCTGCATTGCTCTCCACGTGCGCTTGCTGCACACTAACTGCGGAATTTTGATTGGTTACATAGTACGGACTGCCGCTGCTGCAAAATAAAAATGAACAAATGTTTTTTAAATGGCTCAACTCATTACTATTGCATTTTGCTCACTTGTATTGATTGGAATTGTTTTGCAGTGCCTGTGGCTGTTGCTGCTGCTGTTGTTGTTGTTGCTGCTGGTGTGCGTTCTGTGAGTTGTAAATGATTTCTGCAAAGATCTTACATTAGTTATATGATCAAAATGTACTTCCATAGAAAGCTAGCTAAATAATAATGTTTGAAATATTGTGTGGGATCTGCCACCACTCACCTGTATCAGCTGTACGCTGCTCCAATGATAGGCCCGGTGAGCCAGGCGCTGATTGTAATACAATGTCCTGCAGTGGGGAACTCTCGCGTGAATTATCTGCAAATGGGAGTTGCGAATTATAAATATGTTTCATGTCAATACCTTCACCTACAGACTTACCCATATGACTGGGAGAGACAGGCGCCGAACGTGGCATACCATACGGTGGTCTAAAGCCCTGGCTGCTTCGCTGGCGTCTCTTCTTGTAGCTGTGGTCAATTAGCTTGGCCCCACTGTCCGGGTCAATGCGCCAAAATGATCCTTTGCCAGGCTCATCCTGAGAGCGTGCAACTTTTATGAAATACCTAAAAATGGTTCATTTACATTTAAATGAAGCTCTTAATTTGGATTGGGGGTGGCTCACCTATTCAAACTGAGATTATGACGTATGGAATTTTGCCAGCCCTTATTGGTTTCCTTGCGGTAATACGGATAGTGCTTGACAATGAATGAATAAATGCCGGAGAGTGTCAATTGCTTGTCTGGTGCGGCGGAGATGGCTTGTACAATCAATTGGGCATAGCTGTACGGCGGCTTCTCATTGTGATTGTAACTGGCTGTGGATGGGGTCTGGAACAGATCCGGCTGCAATAAAACGGAATGTATTAGCATGTTATTGTTAATATGTCTCGATAAGGGACAATAGCTACCGTACTTACCGTATTATTATTGGTATAGTTGTTGTAATTGTTTGGCTGGCTTTGATGGAAACCCTGACGTGGACTAGCCGGACAACTGTTGGCAGCGCTTATTGTACCTGTGTATTGAAAATATTATATTCATTAGAGACAGTTAATCAAAATATCATTTTGCAGACATTCAGGATTCGTAAAATATGAAAATAGACCTTGGATCATTCCAATTTTATCCAAATAGTTAGCCACTAAATGTATGTTCCTCTTTCCTAAATATCACTGTCGCTTTCGTAGGAATTGCAACTAAAACGCTGATTGGCGAACAATTTACTGTTTAAATTATTATTCACCAACGTTAATTTGTTTCTTGATTTTTGTAGCACCCATTATTAAAATTTTGTTAGTAGTTCGGAAATTAAATAAATAAATTTTGCTTTGTACTAAAAGTTTTTGTGCGTTTTTTTGCTTCTTGAGCTCTTTTTAGCCTTTATAGGCGGATTACTTGCATTAGTTCCAGCGGGCTGATCATTGTCTTGAGGAACTCCCACAGCAGCAGCTCCAATTGCTTTATTCCTGAGATGAATCTTTTTTAAACGGGCCCTGAACATCAAGACAATCACCAAAGTCGTCCAACGTATTTTACTCTCAGTCTCCTCCATCATTGTCTGGGCTCTTCTGATCAACTGCTCTAATTAACACTTTAAATGCATTTTTCGTTTTTTTTGTATGTGTTGTAGACAGAATATGATTGTTTAGACAGTTGTTCCTCGGAAAGTTTTAAATTGTATGTATGTTTACAAAGCAACTTGCTACAGTACCTAACCTAATTTTAAATACCCTACGGACAGAAAAGTTTTACAAATATGCGACATTCTTGAACAGTTGCGACATCAATTAAATATACAGTAGGCAAAAGGCAAATTAAATAATTAAAATTCATATACGTCCTAAATCGTATTAAAATATTTCTGTACATAGTACCTAAAGGTACTACATATATGTACGTTTCAGTTTCATTAGTATTAAGTTTATGAACATGCTAAACGCCCAATTGGTTAACAAAGTTGATCTAATAGGAATCGGCATAAAGTTAAAATTTGAATTCCACTTGCCAGTTGGTGATAGATAGGGGCTCTTCTGTTCCTTCTTCGGTATGGATATCTTTAGAGGAGAGTAGATGCCGCCACCACCAGCACTATCATTGCCGGGCAGTAAATGAGTAGCAGTGGGTGGCACACCCCCAGTAGCGGCACCGCCGCGCTGCTGCTGCTGTAGGGCTGTTTGATGAAGCGGGTGTGGAGAATGAGTGGCGGAGTGTGGGTGATGCTGCTGCTGTTGCTGCTGCAAGTGGAGCGATGCTTGCTGATGTTGCTGGCCGAGATGATGCGCATTCTGCTGATGTGGCAGCAGCTCTTCTCGTACTGGCGGCGTAATGATGACATGTGCGCCAGCTGCGCCTGTTCCTGCATTGTGGTTGTTATTTACGCCTGTGGCAGAGGCAACGGCAGGAGTGCCTAGACCATGAGCAGGCGCAACAACATGTGATGCATCCTGCGCGGCCACAGGCGTTGACATATAGCTCTCAAACTCGATGCGTATCTCGGTGCTTGGAAAGCGAAAGTAGCACCTGAAACAATGCAAGAGTGCATGTGATTAGATTACAGTACAGTAACATAACTGTAGTTTAGGTATAACGTACCGCTGAGGCAATCGGAGTGGATCCGCATTGCGCCGCTGCAGGAAATCATCAACGAAAATGCCATTTTTACTCAAACACTGCACGAAGAAGGCACGCTGCTCAACGTCGTACAGAACCTGGAAATGTTTCCGCGAGACCAAATTATTCTCGGCCACGTGAAAGTGCACCAGCGAGGTGGACGAGTTGCGTCCGATGACGGTCACAGCATCAGTAATGTAAAGGACATCCTGATTGAAACGTAACTCGCCGTAGGCATTGTCCGGCGGTGTGCCGGTGGAACCAGTTGCGGTTACTACTTGGGCAGGTGGGTGGTTTGCTGAGTTGTTGTTGCTGCTGCTGTTTTGATTGGCCGGCAATTCGACACCGATACTATTGTTGCTGCTATTGTTGTTGTTATTCAACGCTGCGGCGGCGCCATGATGCAGCTGAAGCATGTCCTTGGCTATGGCAACAGTTGCGGCGTCTGCAACGGCTGTGGCGACGCTGGTGGGTGTGTTTAAAACGGTGTGCACCGTTAAGCTATGATGGTTGTTATTACTATTGTTGTTGGTAATTATGTGGTCGCCGCTGTTTGCACTATTGCCGGTGGTTGTTGCTAATGTCGTAGTTGTTGTTGTAGTGGCGGCCATTGAGAGATATCCACTTGCGCCTTGCTTTTCTACTTGTTGTTGTTGATGCGGTGGCTGTTCTTATTCTATTGCTTCGTGTTGTTGGCTGCAATGTATACGCACGCTAAGTATTTACTGTCAAAAAAATTTAATAAAAACACACTACTATTCTCTCTCTCACACATACACACAGAAAAGCACAGCGTGCAAATTTTTTAGCCCCAACTCTTTGCTGTTTATTTTTCTTGTCTTCGTTTATTTTTGTGTATGCGATGCGGCTGCGGCGCGTTTTAGAGTAGTGAAAAAATAACAAAGCGCGTGTTTGCACAAAAATACCACAAACGTGCAAAAATTAATTGTATCGCTGCCCGATTTTTCCTATTCTGCTGTTTTTTACGCGTATTTTGGACTTATACTCAAGGTTTTTCGTCAGCCCAAAACAAGAGCCACCACATGAAATATTTTCCAAATATATACACACACTGCGCTCGACGCTGCTGCCCTGCTGACTAGCAGTTTGGGTTTGTCTCCTCCTTCGTAGCAATTCCTCACACATACATACACACACACTTTGAATTTCTGTTTCGTTTTTGCTTTGCTATGTTTTGCTACCGCAGCCGCTTACCCGCTCCGTTTACACTCGCACACATGCTTACATACATACACACTTGCGCGCGCACTCGGCAACAAGCAACAAAAACAACAGCTACTACACAAGCGTAGCAGCAACAACAATAAAAATAATAATAACTACTACATACTACGACACAAAACTACGTGGAGTAAACTACCCTGTAGAACCAGGGGCGGACTCATAGACGATCCGTTGATTACCTTGCAGTAAACAGAATAAAATATCAAGTCTTTATTGCATTGGTTAACACTGTTTCACATATAAATGCAAATAAAAAAAAACTATTACAAATCTAAATCAAATGTGAAATAAAATAAATTTCCGAAAGAAAGCGTGTAAAGGTAAAACTTCAATGCATACTTTAGTTTTTAAAATAGACTAAAGCATTTTGGGTGATTTTTTATTACGTATATTTTGTTTTAATCATACTGCAAATGAAAATCAGTTTAAGAAGTCTCACTAGTTATAATTTATTGTTTGTCGCATTTCAAATGCTAGTTTTTGTATTATTTGCAACATGATACTAACTAAAAAGTCAATCGCTACTGTCAGTTCTATAGGGGAATGTATACATACGACTCTCTCTCGCTTTTTACCTTCTAGAAAATCAGTGTTGCCATGTCGGCATTCCGTGCGATAAAAACATGCTTTTTAAGCTTAACTTAATGAAGGTTCTAATTCAAATTGTATGTTTAAAACATACATGTATGTACATATACTGACTTAAAAGAAACATTCCAAACGTCTTTCACACACTCATTACATATTTAGTATGTACGTACATATATATGTCTTAAATACTTTACTAAAAAATAAATTGTGTTGTATTTAGTATATACATATGTATGTATGTAAATAAAAATTGTGTGACAAAATTACATCTTATAAATGCATGCAATTGAAAAACAAAAAAATATGTAAATATATATATGCATTTATTTAACATTTTGCATTATTAAATTTTAAATTTTGTTATATAACTGAAGATACAAAAAAATTGAAATAATAACTCGCGATTTTCTTACATCACAAATTATTATCAAATATGTACATACATATGTACATACTTTTTAATTAAAAGGCAAACATTAAAGTTGGCGACGATAAAGCAATAAATATCTACATAAAAACATAGGTATATACATAAATACATGTACATATGTATGCAACTTTTCGGATACAGTAAAATTCGCAATTGATCATCGCCAATAGGCTTTTAATGTACATATATTGCTGACAGTTGGCAACACTATTTCAACTAGCGTGCTCGCACGCACGCACACATTTATACAGTCAGATTAGCCCCACATGGCTCCCCATTCAATCGATCGAGCTGCGGAGCGTATGCATGCACAGACATGCAAAACGAAACCAAAATAAAATTAAAGAAAACAACGTAAATAAAATGCTGTACAAAATACGACAAAAGCAATACCCACACACGCCAAACAATAACACACGCATGTATTCATACATACATATGTACATACATACGCATACTCGCCGTAACGTCGCTGCTACGTATGGCTGTGTGTGGTGGGCAGAGCAGAAACAGCGAAACAGAAACACAATAAATAAATAAAAACAAAAAACACACACATACACACGTATTGGAAATGCGTAAAAAATGCCGCTCGTTGATTTTTCAGCTAGCAACCGCACCTGCTTGCTATACATACATAAATACATACATATGAACTTATGTACATTCGTCGGTATATATTTATGTACACATGTATGTATGTATGTTTTTAGTGCGCCTTGTTTGTCTCATTTATTGCGACGATGAGCCGCTTGCGGACAAAAGGACGGAGGTAAAAGCGTAAACATTCGAAAAGCACACTTTTCACAACGTCGAAATAGATACATACATATGAATGTATGTATGTATGTCCATACATACTACATCACTCGTTGCGATTGGGGCGATTGCGTAAACTTGCCGCCCGCTTTTTTCTACCTAACACCAAAATAAGATGTACACACATTTAAGAGTACGCACACACACAAAGCATAATACATACATATGTAGATATAAATGTACCTACTTAGACATATTCCAAAATAATAAATACAATTATTAATATGTATGCATATTTTTAATTTATCAGTCAAATTGAACTGCAGTCGCTTTTGTTTTTATATTTTCCCTTATTACCAGTGTTTTGTTTATGTTCTTTATTATTATTTTGTTAATTAGGCGACTTTTTCCGAATATTTAGCACACAACACGTTTTTTTCAGCACCACTTCTGCTTGTTGTTCAAATACATATGTATGTATGTATCTGTATGTGGAGTGTGTGTATCAACAGCGGCCGCTGCGTGTTTGTGTGTGTATATTATTTTTCGTTTCCACTTATCGGCTCGTTCGCCTTGTTTATTATTATTTTTCTCGTACCTTTTTGGTGCCGTTTTCATCTGAAATTGTAGGATATTTTTGCAAACACTTTCTATACAATCACACTACACTTTAACAGCAAATTTGTGCACTTTTTCAGAATTTAGACTCAATTTTTGTTAATTTATATTGTCGCTGCGCGCTCTGCAGCAGCTGGCCACCACAACATTTAGCACGCAAAAGAACTGACTGGGTCTGGGTTGTCGTTCTCGTATTATCGCTGTAAAAGACTTATGATGTTGCATACACTGCTTTTACACTGTATGTATATGTTTTTGTAAGTTTACACGAATATATGTGAAAATGAATTTCATGTAATTTTGCTATAATTTTTATTGTAGGTTAACATTATTTTATTATTTTGTTTATCAACAAATGTTGCCACTGTAGATGTCGAAAAATACACACTGCAACGATCTGGCCACGCTCTACGTCTTTTAGAGACCAGCTGATCATTAGGGTACGTTCAAGTGTTATTCTTGTGTACTATTATCATATATCATTGGTCAACTTAAATTGCGATTCACATGTCAATACCTATAAATATCAAAGATAAAAACGTAGTTCTGACTATAATTTAAACGTCAGCTTAACTATTCAATTTCTATAAACGTTCATCTGCGAATACTCGGCCACCCTAATACGATTCGTAGACGACAGCTTTTTCATTAGTAGTGGTTGGCTGGTCCAATAAGAACAAGAAAAGGCCTGTTTTGTAACAGCATTGCCGCTTCTTTAAAAGTTTATTTCATAGTCGATCAAATTAATTTATGCATAAAAATGAACAATTTGACGCGTCTGTTGGGCAACTGCGCGCTCACACTGCACACGCAACGCACAGGCGTAGTCGGCCTGCAGCATTTACGCACCAAAACGAAAGTCGTAGTTAAACCAAAACCTGGCGCAGGAACTCAGTTTCGTCGTATTGTGCACTTTCCGGAGGAGTACACGATAGAGCCACTGAAGATAACACATTTGGCTGGACGAGATCCAAAATCGGGTCGCGTAGTTGCTAAAGGTATCGGCGGTGGTATCAAGCAGCAGTACCACTGGATTAAATGGGTGCGTGACGGACCTAGCGAGGGTGAGCCGCAACAGGAACTTGTTGTGGAGGTTTTCCCGGATGGTTGTCGTACATCAAATGTGGCTCTAGTCGCTGTAGGCGATGAGCTGAAGTATATACTGGCCACGGAGAATATGAAGGCGGGCGACATTATCAAAACGTCACGCGTTATTCCGCGCATACCAGGCTAGTAATGTCAAACTTTTTCTTTATACATATTTATTAACTAATTATATTATCTATCAGTGCGTCCTAATGAAGGGGATGCTTATCCGCTGGGTGCTCTACCCGTAGGCACACGTATCCATTGTCTGGAGAAGAACCCCGGACAGCCTTGTCATTTGATACATGCAGCCGGCACCTTTGGCACTATATTGCGCAAATTTGATGACAAAGTGGTCGTGCAACTTCCTTCCAAGCGCGAGTTCGCCTTCAACCGCATCTGCATGGCTACCGTTGGACGCCTATCAAATACAGAACACAATAAGGAACATGTGGGCAGTGCCCAGCGCATGCGAGAGCTGGGAAATCGACCACGGTCGGGTCTTTGGAAGCGCAAGGAAGGCAAGCACGGACGCAAGATACGAAAATTGCCACCCATGGTTACAGTGGCACCCCCGCCACTCCCCAAATTGGAAGAAACAATACTAACTCTAAATTTGTGAGCTCTAATTCTACGCAATGTTGTTTACTTATATGTGAATAATTAAAAAACCTGAAGATAACTATTTGCGGGACTTCTTCATTGAGAAACCAGTGCCGTGGAAGCTTCCAGCATCAGAGCCTGCTTCGGCGTCATCGGCCGTCTGTTCATTAACTCGGTCGCTTATGGGCTTTATGCTACGATCAAATCTGATGACGCCAAACTGAAATTCGTAGTCTGGCACGCCACGTGGTAGCACCTTCTTCATTACTGGCATCTCCATCTGGTTCTCCTTCTTCTTCTTGCCATCTAGGCGTACACCGGAGCCCTTAAAGGTCTCCACCACCTCCTCCATGACAGCACCACCAGCCGCCGCATCACTGCCACTTGCTCCTTGATCCATTTGAGCCTCAGGTTGAGCTTCATGGTGATCCTTGTAGCCTACAGGTGCCTCAAACTCCACATTCATGTCACATTCAATTATGCTTACGGCATTACCCGGCCTTGTCTCTAGCACGCAAAGTTCATAGACTTTCTTGTTGTATTTTATGGCTATAACGTCGCCTTTCGTCAAACAGGCGAAATTACGCAGCGCATTTTCTAGGACTGCTTTAGGGTTAGTTATGTCCAGAAAGTCAGTACTATGTGGTTGAAATTTAGAAAAGGTAGCCACAGGTAGTGAGACGCTTTCAATGCTGATTATGTCACCCTCCTCTAGCAACAGATTATCCATCATCCAGTACGGTAGATAGCACTTGCCCTCATCGGCCACGAATTCCAGCACACCAGCGTGGGAAGCCCTTGATTTTTTGTTATTTGTAAGCTTAAAGAGCATAGGGTATTCGACATTCAGCCGTGTAAGCGCGTCCAGTGCCGAAGGCGGCATAATGACTATAAAGTACCAACATTACTGGTATTGATAACAATTGTATTTCTGCGATTGCAACTTACTTTTGCCACCTTTCTCAACATCGGAGCGTTCGTTGCCAGGCAGCATAGACACTGAGAAGCATTTGTATGTTGCGTGGAAACTGCGTCCACCGTCGGGGAACATCATATTAAAGCCGCTAAAGTGAAACATGGCCCACTTATTTGTTTGGCTTTGTAAAATTGAGTTAATATGATATGAAGTCCTGATCAAACGATAATTTGGAAGAGTATTATAAACTGTTGTTGGAACTCAAATTTGCAATACTTTGTTTTTCTGTAATGTCACTTCAGCTGATTGCCTATGCTGCCACATCGATAAGATTCTTCGCTTGTTTCCAACAGTGCTGAAAAAGATTTAGTGATTATTCTACTTAAGTATTTTTTAATTTATTTTGTTAAGTAATAATGCTCAATAATACAACGTTACACGTTAAAGAAAACTAATGTAATTATCATAGAGCGGTTTCTGACGCTGTTTAATCTCAAACAATATTCAAATTTGCAATTGGGCGCGAAAAAGTATTGTGGTTTCTATGCCACACTGGCAAAGAGAGCGGTTGCAAAGAGCTTCCGTTTTATATCGTTCCGCTTGCTCTATGTTTTCACATTCTCGACCAAGCCGGTGGTTGTGCGCGCGCGTTTGTTACGCTACAGTTTTAACAAATAAATTGATTTGAAAAAGTGCTGCTATTCAAGTGAGTACTAACATGTTTTAAAATTTCAGTAAATACATACTTATGTGTTAGATTTTAAAATATTTGGTGCAACTGCTGATAAGTTAAGGATTTGATCATGTAAGCGACGGTAATTCGGTGTGTGTGTATTTGTGATATCCTTGTCTATCCTTACGTAGTCACACTGGCGCCGCGTGTTTTGCCAGCTCAAATGCATATGTGTGTGTACATGTGCTTGTAAATTAATCATACATACATATTATTTACGTCAATATTTCAATAATTTCACCATTTACTTAGCATTTTAAAATGAAATTCAGTCAACTGTCCTTTCCGAGCATTGTGAAATCAGCATCGTTTACCCTAACAGCATATTTGTTGATTAGAAAAATCAATAAAATGAAAAACAAGCTGACGATTTAGAAAAAAAGTGTGCTGCTGCATAAAATAAAATTGTGCAACTTTTTCTTGCTTTTGTTTCTCCCCAGCGCAGTCGCCCACTTGCTCACACCAACTCATACATACATATGTACATACATATATGTATACTCATACATGCATATGTAAATCCACATTATATACAAATTCTTGTGAAAAAAAACTATTGTGGGTAGGGAAGACTGGCGCAATTTGCAAAATATATGATTGAAAATTCCAAAAATTTCTTAGAATTGCATGAATTGGTGGTACAGTTATGCGTATATCCTTTTTCTGCAAACAAAAACAGTTTGCCACAGTTGGGGATGCACTGTCGCTACGTGCAGCTGTTTTCAAGTTTGTTGTTGTTGTGACTTCATTGTTGCGTCGCAGCTGCTGCATAACAACAACAATGCCCTGCGTTTGCCACTACTCTTTTCTGTATCTTTAACTAGTGCATTCTCGCAGATTCTGGCCAGACAATTTGGCTATTGGACGGAGGGGTATGTGGTCAATTTATTGTTCCCCACACATACACACACAAAACATGACTCACGAATACACCCATCCGCTTTAAGTGCTCCTTAAAAATTTCATTTTCTTGCGAATTCATAAAATTTTTTCAGCTTTTTTCCCTTTTACCCGTGGATTGGGTTCTTATAAGATTTTTCACATCCTCCGACACCGCAGCGTCGGCACATAACAGTGTAGCTGGCGCCTCTTTGCCGTTGTTGTATATGTACATACATACATATGTATGTATGAACGAGTATATACATACATATGTAAGTATTCGCCTGGCACTGTGGGATATTTCTTAAACGGATGTTGTGTAAAGTCTTGCCTATTCTCGCAACACCACACACCCCGCATATACCATGTTGTCTTCCAATTGGACATTGAAAAGAAAAAATTTGGAATTTCTACAACTTAGTAAAAATTTCATTTCAAAAGACTAATAATAAAAACGTAATTATCTTATAGTTTTTTCTACTCTAAAACTGTGCGCAGATGCTGTGCGTTGTCCTAGTGGCTGTAAAACTGCGTTTAAGTTTCTGCACTTCTAAGTCCATATTCTCAATGCCAATTCAAGTGGTTACTTGTGGGTGGCTTTTATTTCACATTTTCCTTACGTCAAAATATAAAGTTTTTGCAAAAATATATTAAAATGCTTAATTGCAAACAAGCAATATTCCATGAATGATATCAACAACAATAGCTAAACAACCGCACAAGGTCAATATTGGAACTGACACGGTTGCAGGACGTATAAACGTAATTTACATACATACATACCTTTATACATACATTTGTATGTATGAGTGTGTTTGAAGAAATAATTATGAAATTGATGTTATAGAGTTACAGTTGTAGAAGCAATGGCCTGATAGGTACAGTTAACACAGTTACGCACGCACAAATTATAAGTCGTCTCGTTCCCTCTGTATTATGTGTATGTACATACACACATACATATGTATATATGTATTATGCTACATTTATTCCACTTGAAGATACATAAAAACTAACATACTACATACATTACATTCTTTATAATTCCTCGTGCTATAAAATTAAAATGTTTTGTACCCCAATCGCCATATAGTATCTATTCGCTGGCCTCATCAATTCTTTTGCATATACCCGTCATTCGCACTTACGGTAATATATTTATTATTGTATGTACATATCTGTGTATGTATGTATGTACATTCATTCATAGATAAACAATATGTACATATATCGATGAGTGCTAGAATATTTTGTTGCCGGGCGTTTGTATGAATGCTTTTTATTTAACTTTCGTAAATGGTTTCATATAATAATATCGAAATTCTACGCGCTGCCGTTTCTTCAAGAATACGTACATATGTATGTATGTATGTATGTAGCTTTAGCGTTTTGTTTTTGTTTTGGGCGCCGTCAAAACGTTTCCATTCTCGCTCACACGTTTTCATATCACCCGACAAACTCGTGACATATACGCATGTATGTATGTACATACAGTATATAGACATACTTATATTTATGTGTGTTCCCTGTTCCGCTTGCCATTCGTTGGTTTGGAAACTGCCAAAGTATAAAAATAAAACGGCATACAAACGTTCTTACATATGTATGTACATATACATATGTATGCGTAGATATATATCTTTAAACGTCGCATTCAAATTTAAATTTGTTATACCCTATTTGCGTCAGACGCCTCTTAATGAAGAAAGCTGAATTACTTAGATGTTTCGTGAGCCCTCTGATTGCTTGTACAATCTTCCAATTAGATGTCGATAAATCCCGAAACAATTTCATTTAAATCTAATATTTTTCAAAGTCTAAAAAAAATGCATATATCGGATTAATTTATGGTGAAATTCGAAAGGCCCGCACAACCTATTAATTCATCATGATTAAGAGTTTGAACTCGTCTGGTTATAATTGTATACATATAATTATTATTATAGTGCAGGGTTATAAATGTCCTTTTTTGATCCTTATGTGCTTTTATATATGTATGTTCGTATGTGCATTTTTACTGAATTTATGTATATATGTAGTAAGTTGTTGAAGATATAATCGTCTTGATTCTTTAGAACAAGAAAAACAAATCGCGTTTCTTGATAAATGGTATCGGAATTAGGGTGTAGCTCATATTTAAGCAGCCACGTATAGCAGACATATGTATGTATGTATGTATGTTTACAGGTACATACATATACAAAAAAATATGTATGATTCAGCTTGTTATTCACAAATTAACATCTTCTTTGTACAGTAACCTTTTTATAAATTCTTAGCCAGTAGTCTGCTATAGTTTATTTCCCCAGGGCACGACGAAGATGGTTAACGAACCTATGCTTCACGTTTGTCAGAAGTTGTACAAGTTTCATCACAAGACAATAAAAACTAGTATTTTCCTATTAAAGCTAATAAACTTACACATTTAAAGAAAGGTGTTTTAAATCTCTAATTGAATTATCATTTTACTCCAGAATTATTAAAAATACAAGTATTTCTCACGGACAGTGCCAAATGAATATTTGCAGTTAATTAGTTTGAAACAATTTCCTTTATTTTTTTTAATTAGTGGCCGAACTGTGTAGTCTTTGTTGTTGTTATTGTGCATGTTCTAGCTGCTGGAAGTTCTCGCGTCTCGTCGATTTGGCGTAGAACTGAATGTTTGAACGCTTCATTTATCAAAGGTCTGGCTATATATGTAAAAACGACTGTCTGCATGCATATGTACATACATATGTATGTGCATGTATGGTATTTTTATAATCAGTGGCTCGACAGTCACAGGCCCATGTATGTACATGATGCCTAAAATGGGGGTTGTCTTGAACATTTTGTAAAATCCACCCTGATTAAAAGTAGCTAAGTTAATGGCGACCTTGAACTTGCTGCATAAGCAACCTGCGGCATCAACCACCACCACCACCAACAAGTGGAAATGGTCGTTGGTTAGGTTGGGTTAGTTTGGCCGGACCAGTCTACTGGAATATTGAAACGGTTTTTCAATAAACTTCCATGTCCCGTTGTGTCTGCTCAGCTTTATTCAGTCGTCGTTGGGGGAGGGTCAGTCAGAGGAGTGGGGCGTCGCGTATGCTTTCAATAAAATACAATACAAACAGATTTGTCCTTGAAACATTACGGAAAATTAAATCAATATTAAATGCAATTTTCTGCCTGCAATGTCAAGGCTATAGTTGACGGTAGTAAATGCTTTACGTGCTGTTTGCCTTTCGGCCTATATCCACATGTTTTCCTTTTCCCCTTTTTCACTATCTCTCACTCTCTTTCTTAGTCCCAACACCTGCTGTTGCAATAGATTGGATTGCATTTGAACACAGGCAGCACATATACATATTTATACACACATATGTATGTATACATATGTAGGTGTATTTAACGACGTGGTAGGCCCTGCATGTTAATTGCAATTAGAGCCGCACTCGAAATGCAATAACTGTTACTTACAATACCGTGACAGCAAGTCCATTTGTATGTCCATAAGTATTTATTTATTTAAAAATAGAATACTTGAGCCAATTTGTTTATGTATAGTATGCGATCCCTTTTGTTATTGGCTAAGTGATAAAAGACTAGTTTGGAACAAATTTCAATAAAGGTTCTGCCTTTTAAATCTACAGTTGTTCTAAAGGTAAAATTGCAAGAAATTATGCAGATACTTATAGTTATAAAACGGGCTTATTGTGGCTCTTTAATAATCTGTTGGTACTGAAAAAATCATTTCACTATTCTAAGTTTCCTAAATACTTGAATAGGTTACTATTAATAGAAAATATAGTGAGGTGTTGGCTGAAGTTATGTGCTACTATATTGAAGTATGTGGAAGATAAATTGGCACATTGGTGTATTTATGTGAACGGTATAAAATTAAATATTAAACTTAACTTAAACATAATTGAAATCAAACTTATATACATATGTATTTCTTAAAAAATCCGCAAAGTGCAGATTTTATAATTACTTGGGAAATTTTTTAAATAACTGGTCTTGAAATTAGTGAAATCATAGCATTACTAACCTCTAACATCCAATTACCGCCTTCCTAACTTATTATTTATTCCGTTAAAAATAGCAATAGCACACGACTTAAAAAAAATTTTTTAATTATTTTAGTTTAAATATAATGAAATCTGATATTTTAGTATGGCTATGGACGGACAAACAAATAATTTGCACACATCTATGCAAGAAGAATATTTTGTATTACAACTAATTAAATCAATATTACTTTTATTTGTTTACTTAATTTTATTCCAGAATTTGATTTTTTATATATGTACATAAATTTGGCCTTAAATAAATTGTAATGTGCATTGCACGAAATTTGAAGTTCAAAAGCTCCTCTGCTTCCATTATTCCGTATAGCGACAGAAGAATATAAATGTTATGTATATTTATATCAAAAATATCGCAATGAAATAAGAGACTTAATAACATATTTCTATATATGCATAATAATTAGTAATTCAATTTATACAATGAAAAAACTAGTTAATAGTTATAAATATATACCATAGTTTTTTAAATGTATTTCCGTAGATGCTACGGTTTGTCCCACTGTACGCCCCCTCATGTCAGAATTTTCTACCGTCTATTTATTTTTGTTTCATTGAATTGCCATAATTCCTTTTTGCTGCTTTCATTATTGCGTGTTTGTTTGCGCAGCGTCATTGTTGTTGTATTAGTTGTAGTTGCAATTGGCTGCGTGACGGACGGCATGCAAAATATAGCGTTACGTTAAGTTCTGCCACCCTCTGGCTGCATTCGACTGTGGCTCTCAAACTTGAGAGTGCTAATCAGTTTGAGAAGCACTTTGTATGAATGTGGTTGTAAAACTGCTATTAGGTAGTTGCGTGTTCTGTTCTGTGCTGCATATTATTTTTAGCTAAAAAGTTGAAAATATACCATAAAATGGGGGCCTATTAGTATTAGTAGGTACGTATGTATATAAGTATTTATTTGGTCCGCGGCAAACGAAATATTATTTGAAAATAGGGGCGGGCGAAATGAAGGGATGCAGTCGCAAGCGGAAACAACGAAAAACAAAAGTAATTATGGAAATTTTGCGCTCATACGTCAACACAGTGACCTTGCGGGGTCGCTGTCAGCTATTGTCCTGGTTTACCGAGCACTAAGCCACTGTTGCATGCTAGGCCCCATTTATTATGTGTCTACTCGTAACACTCCTGGGTCCTGTTTGCGCTATTGTGTGGTAACTTTCATTGCTTTTGTTTGAACAGGGGTCGTTATTTTTTGATGGCTTATTACCTTAACAACTAAGCATTTGGTAATTTGGACACTTACCTATCTAAGTGTGAGTACTTTTCAGATTTGTTCGTATTTTAAGTGTTTTTTACAAAATGTTCTCTAAATATTTTATAAGTAGACTAAAATTGTTTATTATTTATAATAATTTAAAATCGTGATATGTATTGCTTTGCTAAAATTCAAATTTATATTTAAAATTATATTATTCGGATCCAAAATTAGGGGAGCTATTGTAGTTGTACACGGAAAATAAGTGATTTCGATAGCAGTATAGAATTAAACAATTGATAACAATAGTTTTATACCCTCTAACTGAAGATTTAAAGCATATACTAGAAAGTCTAAGGTCCAAATAGGCAGATGACGACGTGGCAAGTCTCATGGTATAGGTACACATACATAGTACATAGACATATCTGCCCGTTCGTATGAACAGCTAGCGATACCAAACTTGATTTGTGGACTTATCAATAGGCTCTTGGGCTAAAAAATATGTTGAAGGACCTTTTCTCCAAACTCTATCCAACTACAACTAAGCTTCTAAAGGGTCTTACAGCAGAAAGAGTCTCAAATCTTACAAACTTAGTACTTTCAATCGCACTCGAATTCAACATAAACTAAAAGGTATTAGTCATGAGGTTGAAAGCTTCTGTTCGTTGAAGTAATTTTCACTAACTCTTCATTTTTGAAAACTTGGCACCAGTTAACACAAATCCCTCTCATATTTTTGTACCCATTTATTTGAAGTGCGACCAAAAACTTATGAAGGCTTTACATGAATGTGAAATATGAATTTTTTAGCACCTGCCACCCCAGACCGGGCCCAAATTCAGGCGGCACCATTTATCTGAAATAAATTTTATATTTTTATAAGCGTTTTCTAATTAGTTGGTATTTCGTTACCTCTAGCACTTGTAGCGGGGTTGCTCAAGACTAGACCAACTCCTAGTAGGAAGAAAAAAATGATTGCGACAGCTTGCATTTTGAAGGCTCTTTTCGATTGAATATTCTAAAGAGAACTAATGTTTTTCTTTTCTTATGTCTGAATATCTGGTAAGATCATGTATTAACCTTTCGTTTCTAAAGATGTGTAACAACTAGATTCGTCTCACATGCTTCTGTTAAGTTTATGCAAGCCAGCGTAACATTTTATTTGACTCTTATATAATGCCCACCTGCCATGATTATCAATATTTTCCACGTAACAATATAAATCGTAATCGTTGTTATGGAAAATCGTTGTCCAGTAGATCTTTTTTTAATCCAGACGATTACAAAATTGAAAAATATTGCATATTCATTGATTTTTTTTTTTAACAAAAATATATATTTATGAAAATCTATAAATTCACAAAGAATAGAGTGCTTTTTACAAATCTGAAATTACTGAAATTACCCAAAATCAATAGTTATTAGCTGTTTAGCTTAAAATGATTAATTTTATATATATATATATCAATATTATCGATTAAAATGGCTAGCATAGCTGGCCAACTGGAAATAAAATTCTCCAACGTTATTGTACAGCTTATTGTTAGGCTTTCTTATATTTTGAGTTGAGATTTAATTGTTATATTAAGTTATATGATCATTTTATTTTTTATTTTAGTATATATAAAATTTTGAAATATATTTAAATTATTCTAATCGACAGAATTATTGTTGATGTACTAAATAAAATTAAAAAAATTTCAACAAATTAAAAAAAATTGATTATCCCTTTTAGTTTATGACTGATCCTATGTATATCTATTACTAATCTGTTGGTAAATTTGCGACCTTTTGCTTCTAGTTGGAACTTGAATTTCAACAATTTATATTTTCTATTCAAACACTCATTTTTATCTTAAATAAATATTTGAGAAACTACGAGTAATTTAGTAAAATGTTTAGGGTACTTCAATGTATGATAAGTGCAAAGAAAGTGTTTCAAAAGTATTACAAAGTGTAATTAGTTGGTCCGTTTAGAAATATGTGTGTGTTGAACAGTTCGAATGAATCATGAGTGAATGCATGAATTCATTGTGGCACACAAACAATAGAATTTCCTCCAATATTTGCATATAGAAATGCGTGTAATCGTAAATATAATTTCCAATGATAATAGTCATCATCTGTCGTAAACTTTGCATGTCATGATGATGTTGTCATGTTACATAAGTCGCCGGTCGGTCGATCTGCAAACAATGCAACGTGATTGTTGTTTGCTGTCAATTGATGACAACAATCAGAGCAATAACAACAATTGCACAGTAGCAATTACAATTTCAATTCTACTTGTTCTTTAGAATTGTTCCAAAATCGGCCACACCATGCTATACTATACTAGGCGTCAGCCCCAACACACTCACCCAAAGTCAGGGGCACGTGGATGTTTGTATATATGCCTGATATATACTATATGCTTTGCCTTTTCATTTAAATTTTCAATTGAAAAGCAAAATGCCTTCATTAGTAAGGCGGCAGTCACCGGTTAATTGTGGCTACAAATCGAGCAATTTTATAGTTACTTTTTTTAACTGCATATGCGTTGATTTCAATAAATACGAATACATTCGCAAAACACGCAAATCAATTGAAAAGCTGGCGCGCCTTAATTGGTTTCGGAATTGCCTCTTGGCGGTTTTTACCAGTTTATTTCGCAAATTTGAGGAACAATGATTCTTCGCATGCTTGTGCACGATTAGCCACAGTTAAGCTTTCTTTATTAGTTAATTAGAATAGAGTTTATTACGGTTTGAGTCGCAAAGCAATAAAGAACGCAGAACATTTATCTTTTGAGTAATCCAGTGGAACCAGAAGATATATTTGTTTGTGTGTTAGTTGAATATTCTGGGAATGGTTGTATTTTCTAAATTTTTGGGTCAGTTTCTTTACCTTAAGCAAGACCCTCTTAACTACACAGATGGGAAATGTGTTCATTTGCATTTTTGGAGATTATGTTTTTATTTTTGCAACTTGAACAATATTTAATATGCTTAGAATATTGTGCGTGAGTTTTCATAGTATAGTATGTATTTATATTTCATTGTATTGCATTGGACAGGTCCAGGGAAATCAAAATATACATTTTATTTTATGGTAGTAAAAACGGTATATGAGATTTGATTCTGGTATCCATGTACATTTCTTGTGGGTTCTATTTTCACAGGGTTGTGATGGGTGGAGGAAAGCTAATATTATAATATAATAATATAATAATAATAATATATTAGTAGTATCATTACCACTTTAGTGTTTGAATGGAATATTCTGATCACTTGGATATCTGACTTAAAGAATTACCATTTCTTATTCGAATCCTCCATTAATAATTGATCGATTATTCTCATCTATAGAATATTCGAGAATTAATGGATATGAGTGATATATAGTGTGCTTGTATGCACTTTATTGCTTACTGTAGCTCATCGTATTCAGGAAGTTAGTTACCCATTAAAATAACTAAGAAAATTTATTTGTGTTTAGGTTGGTGATTTAATTTAAAAACCATAACTTATTTCGGTCTTTTATTGTTCTTCTTTACAGACATGGTGAATATCTCTCTGACGTGGAAACAATTATGCTGTCCTAAACGTCAGGTGTGTCTCTATAATCTCAATCCCAATCTGAAGTCCAAGCCTTGATGATATCCGATGCATAATATGAATTATTATTATTTCTTTGCAGTTAATCAACTCGACTACCATTAGCTCCTACTCAACATAACAAGAAACTTCTTAAATATAACAACCTTAACAACAACAATTACACAACAGCACCCACTTACTCAACAACATCAACCAAAAATTTAACCCAAATAAGAGAAAAACAAGAATAACCACAATTGCAAAAAAGGAAGAAAAACCATAAAAAGTTTTTCTTTTGCTGTCGTGTGTTGAAAGGGTTAAAAGGCAAGTGGAGGAAAGTTAACGTTGATCCTATAAGAAGTTTTCACGTACGTGCTTGGATTTCCGCGAAACGCAGCAGACAACAACCACAAACGCAAGGAAGTTCAGCCGAGTCTTTGGAGAGTGATAGTGCGAGTTAGATAGGAACGGGGAGTGATATTAATAGCAGTTAGTTTTTTGGAGTGTGTGTGCGGCCGTATCTACTTAAATATTTTCTTTTTTATTTCACCGTTTTGTGTATAGTGTGTATGTTTGATTTTAATTTTACAATATTTATTGCAAGCTTTTAGGCAGGCAGAAAAACATTTAAAAACATTTAGTTTAAGCTCAGCCAACATTTAGGGCTAGGGAGGCTACTACACCAGTAGGGTTAAAAAACCACCAATTTTTCAGGGTATTTTAGTTTGTATTGAATCGCATCGCGAGTACTTCAATTTTCATTATGAAAATAACAACAATGAAGTTTAAGCGCAAAAATGGCTGTTTAGAAAATATTTGAAAAGAAATTCTGTATTAACTAATTAAGATTTTTTTTCGAATATAATTTATATTGTTGTAGTATTGTATTTATAAGTTTTAATATTTGTTTAGTAGACTTTTCCTTCCCCATTTAAGTGGTTTTCATTTGTTCCGAAAAGCCATTCAGATTGTATAGCCAGTACACGAACCATTTAGCACAGACACGTTTTCGATTATCTTTTACGAGTAGTAACAACAACAATAAGCTTACTCAGTTATCAGTTCGACGCAGAGAGAGAGAGAGAGACAGTTAGTTGGAGAGCGAACGAGAGTAATAAAGTGCGCGACTTTTTGAGCGAAGAGTTTAATTGGAGAGCAGAGCAATGGAGCCCCTATCACCGGATTTGCTATGGATGGTCATACTTGGCTTTATCATAGCGTTTGTCTTAGCCTTCGGCATTGGCGCTAACGATGTAGCTAATTCATTTGGCACCAGCGTCGGATCCGGCGTGTTAACCATACGCCAGGCATGCGTCCTGGCCACCGTTTGTGAAATATCTGGAGCGATTTTAATTGGTGAGCTATAAATACAAAGTCTCGAGATTCTTCTCCAACCTACCCTACTCTGCTACTATTCAGGTTACAAAGTATCGGACACCATGCGGAAGGGCATACTTGAGGTTGGACTATACGAGGGCGCTGAGGAGGAACTTATGCTGGGCTGTGTGGCCGCCCTGGCCAGCAGTGCAATTTGGCTGCTTGTCGCCACTTTTCTGAAGCTGCCCATTTCGGGCACCCATAGCATTGTTGGCTCTACCATTGGCTTTTCGCTGGTTGCACGCGGAACTGAGGGCCTCAAGTGGTCCACGTTGGGTACCATTGTCGGATCATGGTTCATTTCGCCAGTGATGAGTGGCTTGGTGAGCATCTTCCTGTTTCTGGCCATACGACGCTTCATTTTGCGCGCCAAAGAACCGCTAAAGGCGGGCTTCCGATCGCTGCCTATTTTCTATGGTGTTACCTTTTTCATAAATGTTATCAGCGTCGTACTGGACGGGCCGAAATGTAAATACGACCGAACGCAGCACTACATTGATATTTTAATACCAAATGTACGTTTTAATGTATTTCAGTGCTCTACATGGACAATATTCCGACTTGGATTGCTTTTAGCGCTAGCGTAGGTATGGGCCTGTTAGTGGCGCTGCTGACGCAACTAGTGGTAGTGCCGTTGCAACGTCGAAAGATTGCGAAGCAGCTACGTGCCCAGAACCCAGTTAAGTTCCAGTTTGAGGAATCTGTCGGTAAGCATGTCATGTCAGGCAACAAAGTGGCACTTTTTAACATTGTTATTTGCAGAATCTTCACCGTCCGGAAGCCCTAAAAAGCAGCGCCGCCCACTCTCGCTGGTTAGCGAGGGCAAACCACTGCCAGCCATTGCCGAAATCACCGAGCTGGTCTCATTGAGCGACAACTCGCCGAAGACGTTTAAACTGGCACCTTATGGCCTGGCCGCCAAGAACAATAACACTCCCGTTGATGGCTATAAAATCAATCCAGAGCTTATTAAGAAGGCTGAAGATTTGCTGGGAAAGGCCAGCCTCGATAACACCGATCTAACCATAACCAGCTTGAATTTTATCGACGAGCAGCAACAAATGCAGCCATCACAACAGAATGGGCGCAAGCTGGAGGAATGCTTCAAGCTTGTCCAATCGCCCAAGGAGGAGCAGAGGAGCAACAAGCCACAACAGCAACAACAACATGCAGTGCCCAATACCGCACCAACGGGCACTAATAACAATCTACAGGTGGTCGAGAGTGCAGGCAGTTTAGAGCTTATGATGAGCGCTACCTTGTCGCCCAACTCCAGCAAGGTGCCATTAATCGAGAGCAAGGAGGCACTCAATGAGGAAGAGTTGAAGGGCACGCCTGCGCGTCGGGCTTCCAATGTCGAGGAAACCGAAGAAGTGTCAATGTTGTTCTCGTTCCTTCAAATATTGACGGCCACCTTTGGTAGTTTTGCGCATGGTGGCAATGATGTCAGCAATGCTATTGGACCCCTAATAGCACTCTACATGATCTATCGCGAGGGCTCGGTAGCGCAAAAAGCAGAAAGTCCTATTTATATTTTGATCTACGGCGGCATTGGCATCTCCGTAGGTTTATGGCTGTGGGGACGGCGTGTTATCGAGACTATTGGCAATGATCTGACAAAGATTACATCATCGACGTAAGTAGAGAACTGGGTAGTTACTTTTTTAATTTTTAATCGTGCTTCATTTATTTGTAGTGGGTTCACAATTGAAATTGGTGCCGCCATTACCGTACTGCTGGCCAGCAAAGTTGGTCTGCCCATTTCGACAACGCATTGTAAGGTCGGTTCAGTGGTCTTTGTGGGTCATGTCAGCTCTATGGGCAAAAAGAAACCGGAGAAGCAGACACAGGAAATAGGCCAGGATATGAAGTCAGCATTAGAAGCAGAGTCGAAGGAACCGCGAGAGGATGGTAGCGTCGATTGGCATTTATTCCGAAATATCGCCTATGCTTGGATAGTCACTGTGCCCGTCACTGCGCTGCTTAGCGCTGGCATTATGTACTTGCTTTGCGCCATCGTCCTATAGAATGCGCGCCGCTCCTAAGCTAAGACACTTGCCGACTCTCTTCCACGGGAGCTATTCAATTATTAATTGTAATACTAACTAAAGTTTCGTAACTGTGCAAGTAAAAAAAGTTGAAAAAAAAAACTAAGACAAGAACAAATAACTCGCGTAACTAAAGCAAAACAAAAAAAAACCATTGTATTTAGCATCTAGCTTGTCTCGCTGATAGCTGATATTGATAATTACATTCTTTTAAATATGTACTCGTATACCGCGTTTATTGATTTAGTTTTTAAAACTTCACTGGCATTTTGAGTGATTTGTTTAATAATTGAGTAATTTTTAAAAATATAAAATGCAGTGCATTTTACTTTCTAAAAGTCCAAAGTCCTTTGTTAAAATCTATAACAAGCTGCATTTAAATACACCTGTTAATTTTTTGCAGAAAGTAAAACTAATCCCAAGAATTTATAACATCAAGCAATAGAACAGCAAAACCTATAAATAAAATACACACTGCTGCAATACATTTTCTATGTTTTACGATTTTATTTATACTCGAACTACGTGATTTGAAAATTGTTGCTTAAATTGATAGCAGGCAGATATACTTTTAATAACTTAAGTTCAGTTTTAAACTGTCATTGGATACAATCTTATAATTCGCTTTTGCTAAGAAGTGGAAGCATTGTTTTCTGAACTTCTTGTACAAAACAAGGCGAATATATGCATATTAGTCATTCCAAATGCAAAGAGAAATTGTTTTCATTAAATTGTTCATAAAAATCTCGTTCATCAGGCCAACAAGAAAATAAAACTATTGTTAAAACGTATATGTATATTTAAAGTATGTGTCTGTTAGCGTATTGTTTAGTAATTGAAATGTCAAAAAATGGAAAATTGAAAAATTTCCAAAATAATCAACACCTAATACAAGCATACAAAATTACTTCAAGTATGCATACTCAAAAGTAAAATTATGATTTATGTATGAGTATTGATAAATAATTAAACGTTCACTCATTCACGATGCAATTAAACGCCGACAGCACAAGCATTACATAAAATATAAAAAAAAGAAAAACAATTTTAGACATAAAATCAAAAGGAATTTTAAAGTTGATTAATAAAACATGAGCTATAACAATTCTGATGACGATCCATTTTGAATGTGCTGAGTTTATGAATTTAAATCTCAATTGAATTTTTAAAACTTAATTAACTAGATACAAGAATATCTTATTCTCATTTTTTTTTCACAAAAAATACACATTTTAGGCCATTTTCAGAATTTATTTGTTTTTAATTTATTTGTTATTTATTTTATTTCAGATAATCGCGAATACCTCAAAAATAGATTATGTTCGAAACAAAAACAAAAAAATTACAAAAAATTGGCACACATTAGAGTTGAATTGAACGAAATAAAAATATAAACAAAAATTAAAGAAAACAAAAGCCAACAATCGTGAATATTATATATTTTAAAATATAAATATAAACATTAACTTATACAACAAACGGAATTAATCGAAAAGAAATGAAATAAATTTAATGTTTTCGAAACTGACAACTATTTGGTGACCATTTGGGTTCAATTTTTCAAGGTGGACACGTTAGTGAAATTAATCTAACTGGCTTCAAATCAAAATCTACAATGAAGCGGAAAGGAATCGAGATATAAAAAACTTTTTTCATCGATTCTTTGTAGCCTTATGTTCAACTTCCAAATGGAATACCGTTTATGCTATATGTATATAATCACTTCTTAACTGAAATATTATAAAACGATATTTTATTTTGATATCTTATCAAACATACATATGTGTAACCTTTTTCGACCGAAAATTGGCATTGTAAACATTTACCAATTTCGATTCCATCAATTCGGAAACATGATAAAAAAAAAAGATAGTATCTGAAGGATTTTGCAGTCTCCAAAGGTACAGTCAACATTTCTTAGTTAGCTGACAACTATTTGCTATTTTTATTTGTTTTTTATTTATTATTTACTTGGGACAAGTAAGGTTAAAAATAGTTCCGCATAAAGAAGCGTTGAAATCTTGTTATGCTTTGAAAATGTCAAATCATACTAAGAATAGGTTAAAGGTCACTAACAAAACCAGGGCTGCCGATTTTCAAAATATAATTCGGTACTATGTAAAATAGCTTTACATTTACCGCTATATCAAAAAAGCTTTAAGGAACGGCTAGTTAGTTTTTCTTTTAATTAGTACTTGAAGTTTGAAAATAATTTAGCTTAGAGCCGACATAGCCTGCTTTGGGAAAATGTGGAAAATGCGTGCGGCACTAAACTTATTTTAACGATAAAGCAGCGACTGCAGTGCTCAAAAAGCTCGCCGAGAGCTTACAGGTGTGCGTGCCGTCCGTGAGCTTTTGAGCTCAATGCGCGCGCGTTTGTTGCGGGCAAAGTTTCAGTAGAGTTTTGAGTTTAGACGCGTTCGGTTTGTTTTTCTGTCGCTGGCGCGTAAGATCGCCAACTTGTTAACTGGATTTTTGTTCGAAACCGCCATTGTAACCTCGCTTAGAGTGTTTCTTGAAAAGTGTAAACTGCATGAGAATTATATTTGATCAATAATCCAACATAAATTCGTTAAAAAACAAAATACTCTGCTGGTTAAAGTTAATATTGTCAGCTATTTCGTTAAAAGTGTTCACAGGTGTTAGTGAGAATTGCCAAATTTGAAAATCAACTCCCGCTCTATTGGATTTAAACAGCAATTGATAGAATACTTAAAGGTGCGTTCACACTATTTACTGTATATTTGACCTATTTATTATAAGATATTGACTGATTCTGCTGATTCGTGTTTCAAGCCCTGTTGTTTGATTACAGCCTTTCTATCCACACTTCTGCACTAACCACTAATTGAATTGACTTTTATTTAATTCTACGTTTTCCACATTTCCTGCCCATGCCCATATTTCCTCTATGCGTCCATTCCGTTGGCAGCCCGTTGCTGTTTGATTTGAGCTCAATTTGTTTTCCGTTTCCATTTTCCAATAGTCGCGATGTGAGTATTACTTAATTTCTTTGCTTAATCCGATTTGCGTGCATTGAACTTTTCCGTTTGTGGCTCTTTTAAGGTGTGTTTTGCCTTTTTTTTTTTTTGCACCGGCTTCTGGCGGTCTTCTCATCTTTCTTAATTTGTATTATTGTTGTTACTGCTGGTACTGCTGATTGTTTTATTTGTGGCCCCTCAGACGGCTTGTTCCCATTTTAGCGCCTTTGTGTATTTAAAGAGTTCTCCAGTTCTGTTTATTGAATATGTAGATGTGTTTATTTTTGTGAGTTTGAAGCCAGTTTCGCGAACGTGAACCTGTTGAGAGTATTTCAACAATTATTTGAGTATAGCAAGTGGATTTGCATTTTCCGTTTGGCTAAACGTTTTATGGGGTCCATAAAAATGTGTTTATTTGTTGTTTAATGAAAGAGCCACAGTGCTATTTTTGTTGTTGTTGTTCAATCAAATAAGTTTTTAGCAGGCTATAAATAAAAAGTAATTGACCTTTCATTTTGGGATATTTAATTCATAAAATGTAAACTATTTATGTCAAGTATGAGCTCTTCAAATATGAATGAGAGAACTATTAGTAAGAACAAATAGAAAACTGTTTGAAGTTTTAAGTATATTTTAGTTATCTTATTTAATTTACTCATGTATTAAGATATTATGAAGTTGTCATAAAGTTTTATGTATTCAAGCTCAAATATATTTATTTGATCTTATTTATAAAAAAAATATAATTTTTTTTAAACTTGTATAATAACATATATTTTTGTTATATATTATTACAACACAGTATTGGACCAAATAGTAATAGTAGTAAATTAAGTAATTTCTTTTTTAATCGAAAATAATTATCTTGAAAGTTTTCTGACTTAAATATGATATTAACTATTTTTAATTATTATTAGCATTTTAGAGTTTTTTTATGGAAATTAAAATTCTTTCATAGAATATTTCCATTGATTAATTGTCTGAAACAGTGTGTGTATATTTAAATATAATGCTTAATTTTTAGTTGAATATTTTGTGCGAATAAATGCCGTGCAAATTGATTGCTAATGTATTTAATTCCTAAACCCCTTTCTTGTTAATTTCTAGCTATCTCACGGGTCATTAGTATAGGGAATGTAAAGTTGATTGCTTCTCAGTATGAGATGTGACCTATTTTTCAAAATACTGACAGGTGTTTCAACTTGCATTCTTTTTGTTGCTGTCGGTGGCTATTGTTTCTGGTTAGATAAGCAGAGATTTCTAAAATTATAAGCTACCTAGCGGTTTTCTCAAAGCATCATCGCATTCATTTCAAGCCCATTTATGACTTTTGCCCGTGCGAATAGCAAAAAAAAAAAAAAAAAAAAAAAAATAGCCAAACCTGAAGTTAGATTCTATAGCAGAACAAAAGCCAGGCAAATGATCGAATCCATTAAGTCACCAAAAGCGCCACAACGGGCCAACACAAGAGCCGAGCCATTGGCCAAAAGTCATTAAAGTTGCGCCAGCGAAAAAGCAACCACATGAAGAATAAAGGCAAAATCTATTGGAAACGGCAACAAATAGCACGCCTTAAAAATATTTTATGTTCAACATCAACCACAATAACAACAACAACAAAGCGTATATTGTTGCTGCATGCCACGAGTGCGAACTTTAAGACTCTGGTCTAAGAGACTGGCACTATGTATAGTATTTGTTTTGCTTTTTCAGTTGTTAAAGTTTAAGCCATTGCTGCGGGCAATGGTGCTCCACGGTGCTGGCTACCAAGCCTGTTAATTATGCGCTTATCAGTTCAATTTTCCTACCAGTTTTTCCTGAACATTCCACACCAGCATCGGACTCTCAAACACTGGAATCTGGACTTCGGGCAGGTGCCAAGACATTCACGTATGCCAAAATGCATAACAGATTGTTACTCCTCTCGATTGCTTTCATATTCTGGTACCCACTTGCATCTGCTCCAATTTTTTTCCTTACATGTGTTCTCCAATTAATCAAAATTGTATCCATTAGATACGAAAAGACGGCAAACAGAAGCAGCTGCTGGCATGCGGGTAGCTCGTCCGTTACTTTCTACACGTTCGTTCGTCTATAATTATGACATTCTGACAATCCACTTAGGAGTCTTGAATGACTTTTGCATATGGCCAATAATGACAACTAACCCTGTTTGCGGATAACCCATTATGCCCACTTTCTCTAGGCTTCTTGGATTGACTTTGGGCTTGGTTTGTTCAAACGCTCGATCCATCGATCGTTCACATATGTATTCATCATCATTATCATCGTCATCATCAACATCGTTGTCGAGGAGTGTTCGCTAACAGGCGGCCAAAACACTCCCCACATGTTTGTCATCAACTCCATCATCTTCATTGCAGTTGCCACGACACTTTGCTTTTATGATATTCAACGATATACTCGTACTATATGCTGTCAATGACGCATAATTTGATTTGCCACACGATATGTATTTTAGATTAATGACAACGCAAACGAGGCCTATAATAAATGGCTTTGGAAAATTCAATTAATTTAATCTGATTTGCAAATGGGCCTGAGATGGATAAGATCCAAAACAAATAAAACTAATAGTGATCCTCTAAAGACGGCAAATGGTTAGAGTATGCGTGAAATAAATGATTTATTGACTATTTCCATATTTTGTCTACCAACCGCATCCATATTCTTCGAAGTAGATCGATAACATACACTTTCGCTGTCAAGTTAGTTAGTCAATTTAGAGATAATCTCTTCTCTATGTAGTTTTTAGAAATATGTGATTTATAAGTGACGTAAAAAGTTCTTGACTGAAATAACAACTGACATATTTGACAAAATAATGTTCAAGAACGAAGTGAGCAAGTAATTAATAAAGAAGCCAATAAAAGTAATATCTAATAAAGAAGACGGACTAACTACTTATTCAAAAGACTGGATAGTGTTAATTGTTATTTTGAGAATACTCCTACACTATTATTTCGATTGCGAACCTTAGCCTTAACTAATAGATTCGTTTTGCTTAACTATAAGAAACAAAGACAAGTCACAAGTTAGTAAACGAATATTACGACTCTCTTCTTATGAATCAGTTTAATTCAAAACTATGAACATCAAGAGCTCTCCCAAAGTTTATAATGCATTTTATTAAAAAGTTCTTCATATCAAAAGCATAGGAAATTTGACGGATGTTACATAAATTTGTCAGAAAAATGTATGCACATGAAAATGTATTGAAAATGTCAGTAAAAGAAAAACCCACAAGCCAATTTGCGTAATCGCCAAAAGCAGCGGTAAGCGAGAAACCAAAACATTATCGTTGACAAAACCAAAAAATTATGATAAAGCACTTTTTTCCACGAAGCCCCGTATAGCCAACTTTCTAAGTTGGCGAAGTGCTTCCTGCACCCAGAGCCAAGTACCAGGCGGCACTCATTCGCATGGCTTTCCTTGCATTTCCTTTTTTGTGCAAAAGAAATCACTTGGCTTGTTCGGTTGTCGTTGTTGTTGCTGTTGTTGCTGCTGCTGCCCACAAGTGACGTAGCAAGCGGCGGCCATCAGACGATGTTGACTGCATTTCCCACTCAAGACAACATTTCATAAAGTTTATTAAACTTTAGCCAAATTGTTAAAGTGGCGATTTACACATGCCCCCACCACTCTACCCTACCATTCACTTTTCATGCTGGCCGTAGGCGCCAAAGCCAAAACAAGTTCATCAACATTGGCCGGGCCAGCCAGACAACTGACTGCCACTTGCCACTTGGTGGTAATGGAGAGACTGTTGTGGACAGCAACAACAAATTCAAGAGTTTTCCTTGAACGCTCCAAACACTTGGTGGCAGGCATCTAGCTTTTAGTTAGTTAGTTTGTTAACCGCACGCACTCACACAAACACTCACACCACTCATAGTCTCAGTCACAGTCTCAGTCGCAGTCGCAGTCACAGTCACAGTCAGTTACATGGATGTGAGTGTTTGTGCATTGCAAATTAATTTTCTGCTTCACAAATTTCCAACGCACAAAGTGTCCAAAGTAAAATGTATTAAGCGTTAATATCCTGGAAAACATTGAAAATCTTTTCGCTGCAACTAAAACGAGTTTTCAAATCAAATCGTTACTTAATTGCAATTGATGGCATGTGAACATATTGTGCTTGCAATCTGAAATTCGAATTTCATTTCAAAATCACCACTAAAATGATGAATTGGCAGTAACGAAGTGAAAACCTATGAAACTTTTTCACTTTAGATAAAAATTGAATTATGTATTGAATTCATTTGAAAATGGAAAAATGTGAATTTATAACGCTGCTTGATAAAGCTGGGATATGCAAGAAGTTAAGGAATAAAAAAAAATGGAAACGTAATTAATTAGGTTATGGAAACAGAACTGACATTTTCCTGATATATAGAAATAGAAATTGCTTGAGTAATCACATTTATAGATCAATTGTTGTGTTCATAGCGAATTGAGTGAAGAAAGATATAAACGTTTATTTTTGAAAAAAACAAATTGTGCAAAATAAATTGGTTCGTATTTAATTTTTTAACAATCATAACAAAGAATCCTTTATCAAGCGAAAGTTATTATTCTTGCCATTATTTTGAAGAATATTCAAATTCTGCAAATTCCAAAGTCAAACTCTTAGTCCAATCCAAGTAATATATGTAATACTTTTGAAAATTAGCCATCACTATCAAATTAGTCATCAGCGGCTTAGAAAGGATTCACCTGTTGCTCTCTCTTTGGAATACAGTGAAAACTCTCTTGGCCGGACACTCAAGATCTGGCAAATTTTGTCCGCCCAAGGGGAGTGTCCGCTTAAGGGGATACTTCAATACTTTATACACCGATCGAATGTTTTTAGAAAGAGTGTTCGAATAAAAGAGGTGTCCATTAAGGGAGTTTTCACTGTATATATTTGATTTTGTAAGTAATTATTCAAAACTCCACTTGTGAAGTCTAATGCATTTCCTATAAGGTCTGATTTTTTTTTATAAATATAACAATCCTAAATATGTAAATGTAAATACCATTTTATTATACAATAAATAATATTTGATTAACAAGTCCTTGAAAATGCAAACTTTTGAACTCTATTTAACATAGTTAGCATTCATGTAAGTCAATTTTAGAAATATGTAGTCTTTAGTCTCTAATAAGCTCATTCGCGTGCCTTGTTGCTTGGATACGTTTCGATATGGCTGGCTAGCAAAGCTAATTTTCACGGAATATGCAACACATTGGTCGATTTAACATTCTGGTATGCCTATTTAGCTGAATAGCATTCAGCTTTATTTTCTTTGTGCGCGACTACACCTAGCCACTCGTACAGATACCTAATTACAGTTCTATGCCTTTATGTATGCCCCCCGCAAAGCTCCATTTCAAGACATACTTTTTCAAGGTTGCGTAACTCTGAAAACCACCTCTCACTTAGGCATTTGTGCCCGCACGGCTTTCAGATAAAAATTGGAAGAGATAAATGAAAATAAAAAATGAACAAAAACTTCTACGTCAGTGAACAAAATGTCATACAAATCAAAACTGTCAACTGTACAAGTATGTGCGGTTGACTTAATTAGGAAAATGCACAAGTGCATAATTTACCGGCAACAAAAGCAACAACCACATTAACCGCATTTTTGCATCAGTCAGGCGAGCAAACGACAATATGTCAATATCCCCCGCCTGCTCCCAATAGATTCGAGTAAGTCACAGATAGATTTGTTGCACCTTTGTTGGCATCTAACGGTCTTGGTGCCTGCCATGGTGCCTATTAAGCCAATTGGTAATGCTTGTTGTCGTTGTTGTTTTTGCTTTGCCTTTTGCATATGCATTGAAAGTTGTCTGCCATACTCATATACGGGTATACCTATGAATATATATATGTATATACATGTACATACATATGTATAGAGTCGTATTCGTAGTAATAGTTTGGCTCTCGAAGCTCAGACCCAGCAATTGAAATCAAAATACGCAACAGGCTGTGAATTGAACTACACAAATGCTCGTATATATATATATGTATATATTTATATATATATATATCTGGTGGCAAATACATATTTATGAAAATGTGCTGTTTTGTTTTTTGTTAGTGTTGCTCGGAAAACAAGTTTTTGCAAATACCTAAGAAATACGCTCTTTATTTTCATAGCATAGTTCACTTGTATGCATATTTTTTTTCTTCTCAATAATTCAATTGCTCAATACAAGAGAACGAGTTTTCGAGTTTTTTGTTGCTGTTATTTTCAATTTGAAATCGAAAGTTTTTTTTGGTCCATAATCACAAGAATGCGGCAACAATCAATCGAAGTATGGGGAGCTCGCGCGTTTCCCTCAGCAACTTTTGGGGGCGTGTGCGTTGCTGTTGTTGTTGTTTTCGCTGCCTTTGTTATAATTTGCGACGCTTTAATTATGTTTTTTTTTTCATAGAAAATCAATCAATAACTGCCGCACTTTCATTAAAAAACATAACTGTCGATTTCAAATTAAAATTGCGCATACGCCATGTGCGCTGCATTGATTATATGAGAGTTGTATTTTAATTTTAGGTGTGTTACCAACTCTTTTTTTGTTTTTCTCCAATATTAGTTGGCTATTAAACATTATCATTATTATGTAAGCACATTATTGAAGTATTGGGAAAGCTATGTACAACTTAATTTAACAATTGATAAATAATCAAGGCATGTGGAAATTAATCGAAATCTTCTTATAAGTGTTACCTTCATGATAGCAGAAGAATATAATTTTGGTACTTGAATGTTCCCAAGTGTTCAAAACAAATAACATTTTTGCTGGTTCAAAAGGATGCAAGCAAGGTTTAAGTAAATATTTTACTATTAAGGTGGAGAAAACATCTCAAACGAAAATATATAAATAAGAGTAGAGATTAGAGGCATTTTTGGTAGCTAGTTGGGCTTATGGGAGTTAATAAGCTATTAAAATTTATAATAATTACTCGAACATAGAAGGTAATATTCTAGACATTGATTTTTGGATCAATATTGATCTTAGGGTCGATTTAGCTAATTTTGCTAATTTTTTAATTATTATTGTTTAGAATAAGAATTCAACTCACTTTTCCCAAAAAATACTTCTATCCGAAATATTTACTTGTTTAACTTGAAATGAATAAACTGTGATATTACAAGTAGTTGAGAATTTGGCAACACAGCCTCACAGAAACTAGTTGAAATTTATTCCCACACCAGCCAGATCTCGTTTGGGTCCAATCGAGCAATTCAATCACGCATAATGCCAGAATAAAAACAAAACGTGTATCAACACACATTCGTGTATGTCGACCCAATTTCCATTATCTTGCACTTTTAAATTTTTCGCATTGAGTTTGTTTGAACAGAGACAAACTAAAAATAAAAAAAAAAAACAAAAAAAACCAATGTGGGCCAAATTTTGCCTATGAGCAATACGAGCAAACGGTCAAGTGACCTCAAAACTCGATTGAGACAAGCCCATGGTGTGCAAAAAAGCTCGCACTTTAAAAACCTTTTCTACAAATTAAAATGATTTATTTGGGGCGCTGTTACGGCGGCCAACACGAATGCTACTGCATGACTCGGTACGAGTGTATTCGAAAATGCAGGTGCCCAGCCCAGAGCTACTACGAGTACAACAACAACAGCAACAAAATTCACTTTTGTGCCAAATTCAATGTAAATCGCATTAAGAAAAATGTTGCAAGCAACAGTGGAAACAGCAACAATAAAACGCCAGCCACGTTTTGCACGCCACATTTAATTTCTTAGCATTACTTAATAGCCAAAGTAGTAACTGTAACTAACAAAATTCAATTAAAATAAAATACATACAAACATGAAACCGTTATGTGCATATTATAAGAAATATGCTTTTCAGGCACAAATTTGTTTAGGGAGAGACCGAAATGTGTGTAATGAAGTGAAAGAGCATTCAAGAGTAAACGTTTGTTTTAAAATATGAAAACAATTAATTTATTTGTGTATATAATTCTTTTAATCTGTTTCATGCTATTAGTTTCATAGCTTTTGCAGCTTTATAATTACTTTTTAAGAAGAATATTTGGCTATGACTATGACCCGAAAAACTATGCTGCTCTCAATTTAAAATGCGTTTTATATCCACACATAATGGCTATTGAAACATTTGGAAATTAATTGAAGCAATTGATAGGTTTTTTATTTGTTAGTTTAATAATGAATACATGTGTGTTTGTATTTATAACAATAATTAAATAGTGATGCTTTGTTTGCTTTTTTTAAGACTGCAATTTTAAACTAGCGATGACAGTTAGAAAGCAATCGGAAATAGTCGCAAAATTGTTTTAGGAAATGAGTTTTGGACCAAAAGGGAAAATCCACATAACTCGATTTGTGAAATCACAAACCATTACATACTTACATACTTATGCATGTATGGAAAGCATGTATATACATACATAATTATGTCTGCTCTTACATGACTTTCTGTAGCTGATCATTTAAATTTGCTGAAAGCTAATAGAAAACAAAGTAAATTACAATGATTAGACAATTTTTCGCTCACAACTTGGCAAGTTGGCGCAAATGGCTTTGTTTTGTTTTCATTTCTTCTTCTTCTTCCTTTTATGAAGTGGCTAATAAGTGTGGGCTATTGGTCAGTTGAAGAGCCGCTAATATGCTTATTATGATGATCGTTGATGCTGTTGGCTCTCAAAATGATTGAACGTTGCTCCGCCTACCTGGTCTGGTCGTTGGCTTCTTTATTAACTTGCAATTTTACGCTTTTTTAAACAATATTTACTACGTGCCAGATACTCGGCTCGCATGCCACAAACAATATTGGAGCCATTTAACTTGTTTGGTTTAAATGTACGAGCACGGCTCAAATTTATTGGCAACGCGCGCCCCTCAAACTCGGCGCCACATGCAAATTTTTAACGTTCGATTGTTGCATCTTTTACTCGACATTCACTCTTTTCTTCAGGCATTATTGAAAAGTAAAAGTGAAACAATTCACTTAATTTTAATTTTACAGCGTGTACAAAAGCCTTTTGTTCAAGAATTGTTTCCACAACAAAGACCTTCTTGAGCTCATTTGTGGGGCCAATGAAAGTTTAAAAAGCGGTTTTGCACAGATTTATGTCTGGGAAAATGGGCAATAATATCTCTTACCTTTACTGTACTTGCTTCGAAAGTATACTATTTAAATTTGTTGTTTCTTTTTTATCTTTGCAGGTAAGTTCCAATTACGGATCTCTTTGATTTGAAGATCTATGTGTCCGTTTGTTGAATCGGCAAAGTATTTGGTATTCTGCAAAATGAGTGAGTGATTTAGTATATTTAAATGTACATATTATCACAAAGTATTACTTTTACAAATGGCTTTGCTGAGCTTAGCGGCAGACTAGTAAGTTTTAGAATATGATAGAAAGTTTTTGAAATATTGAAGAAATGGTTCCTTCTTTTTTGAACACTGTATTATAAAACAACAGATACTATCTATGAAAATGAACGTTAGCTATATAAATCGGATGAAAACGAAGGTAGAATATATTATGTCTTTAAAGACTTAGGCGTTAAGAAATCAATTATATTATTGGCCAAATTTCTTTAACTGCAGATCCTGCCTCTTACTATTCACACTTCATTATGTTGCAATATATTATAGGTATAGGTTATTGAAATCTTCCCAGTTAAGCTTTTGTGAGTCCACTAAAGTTTTCATCTCTGTCCTATGAAGTAAGAGCATTTACAACATATTGAATGAATTGCAGCTGGAAACTGTCAGTCTTTGAACATTTAAACATTTAAATTCAAAACATGGAAATTTGTAAGCACTTATGTTCCTTTTGTTAATTTTTAATCAATAGATTTAGTTTGAAATTGTATTTCAATGAGCCGTAAGATTGCACACCTATAAGTTGTGATGTATTTGCGTAAAGCTTGAGGCGTCTTTGAGTTAAAAACACCCACGCGAGTTTTAATGCGAATGAACATCAAGACTCCATCATAGAGAGTGTGGGATTTGCGAGCCGTCAACGAAAATGAATCGAAAAAAGTACGTATGTATGTACATATATATATATAAGTATGTGCGGGTAATTGAAACGCCAATTATGCAGACAAAAAATTGACATAAATAAGACGCAATAAGATGGCCAAACGAGATGAGTAAGCCAGTAACAGGCGGATCAAAGCAACATCGCCAACATGCTTCAATCAAGTTTAGGCCATGGCAATGCTAATGTCGGTATTTGCCAAATGGAAATTGACTTTTGGCCATTTTATTCGATTTGCCGCCATGGCGTCAGGGCATTAAGTGAAACTCTTTTCGGCTCATTTGCCTGGCCGATAATTGGACAGATCAATGGATGTGAGGTGCGCCTAGTCGGGAAATTTCAATGAAAGGAAAACTGTTTGAAAATAGAAATTGACAAACAGACGAACACAACTTGAAAGCCAAGAGCCGACGTTGTCGGTGGGTTCAGTGAAGACGGCCAACTAATCTTCCTCTGGCCAACCTACGCCGCACTTTCGACCACTAATGGCTTTTTTGCGTTTCATCGAGTAAATCAGTTTGAGAGAAAAAGTCAGAAATGCTTGCGTGTACACAGACATATATTTATTTTTATTTATTTAGTTTGTTTTTTTTTTCACAATTTGGCAGCTCGTGGAAAGTGAAATGTGTGAAAATGGCTAATTAGGCAAAATGCAGACTCAACTTTAGTCACAGCATCAGCAAAGTTTTTTTTAAATTAGTGACCGCTATATGGTTGATAATTTAATTTGTCTGCATCATGTTTTGCACCACGTCTGGTGCTTGTATACCGCCTACTAAAGGGTGACAAGGCATAGTCGATTGTTGCGAGTGGCAGGGTGTTATAATGGCATGACCGTCAAAGTATAAAAGGAATATATACATATATTCACTTGAAAAACTGCAAAATGGTTGAACCTATAGAATTGAAACTGTTGAAGGTCTTAATTATGTTTAAGCGTTTCATTACAATTTCATTTAGGTACTAGTTCAAAGCTGGCTCCTCCTTCAGGCATTCATTGATATGATATTCTATACTCTTTGCTGCTATAGTATCGATTGTTCTAAATAATATTTAAAAAAATATAGGGCTACATCTGAATATATCACTAATATTCGATTCGAATTGCTTATTTCTAACTCTTCACCGTTGGTTAATTATTTATTTTTTGTGAGCGTATTATAATTAAATGAATCTTCTGGTTTTAGACCTTTAGTAGACCATCACTTAAGTTAAAACCGACTAATTAAGATGTGTCTCAGGAAGAACATTTTCTCAGCCAAGTTAATCAACAGTTTTTATCAACTTTAATATCAGCTTCAAGTGTCATGCAGTTGCAACAAAATATTTGAATACTTAGTACAATATAGGGTACTCCATAGTCGTTAGCAACCAACTCTAGCATGCATGCCTCTGTTACTTTTTTTATTTGACAAATTTCACCCCCCAGCTAATTATGAAGCATAGCTTGTTTGTTACCCAAGTGGTTTTCGAATCTCTGTTAACAGTTCTTGCTCCACTTCCGCCATATTGTTGAGTTATTTCTATATGTGACCAGACTGACGGACTGACTGTTGGTCAAATTATTTGACAATTCATTGTTCATATTTGTATTTTTAAGCTTTTTTGTTTCTTACAATTCAGTTTTTGTTCATAACAATTTCTTTGAAAACCAACAATTTTTAGCTGTAATTACGCGTCAAGTTCGTTACTTAAGTCTTTTGTTTTACGAGCTTGTTTATTTGCCTAAATTGGTCAAAATAACAACAATAACAATAGAAGATAATTGAGATTTGTTAGATGTCTTTTTTTTAATGCGCCGTTTTATTTATTGCTTTTTATGGTTCAGAAACCCAATTTTGTACATTAAAGTGTAGAAAAAAAACGATAGTAAAGGAAAAAAAATGGCATATATAGTATGTACATATATAAGTCCGAAAGATACAGAAGCTTAAGCTTGAGATAGTCTTGGGGGGAATGAAGTTAATAGAATAACTAAATGCGAGTTAATAGTGGATGGGCCAGGGGTTTTTGTAGCCCACCACTGTTGGCTAAGGACACTCCCTAGGAAAACGTTCTCAATATGACTAATTGTACTTTCTACGACTCTATATCGGAATCGAAGTGGATTCCGCTATTGATGTGTGATGCAAGAAGTCGATATTATCGATGACATAAATATATATGATATTACACCGCTTTTTTCAAACAATTTGGGGTTCTGATTTACATACTTTTAGGAAAACATAAGATCTTTGGTGAACTTTTTAAGTCTACTGTACCCCAACGATTCGAGATCATTATTATATATTATTGTAATTTTGTTAGATTTTGCTTATACAAGTATGTATGTATATAGTTCTTAAAAATATAAGTTGATAGCAAAACGCTTTTATTTTGTCATCTATGTCGACAGCCTATCTTTATTAACTTATTATTAAATAAATATACGCAGTCAATAGATCTGATGAGACTAATATGAAAATGAAGGAAAAAATGCACTAATCTTAATTTAAATTCTTGCATACCTAAGTTTGGCTTCAACTTTTTACTGTTCTTATATAATTTCCCAATCGAAAGCTTTGAAACTATTTGTAAATTTCAAAGCGTTTTGGTCCGATTTATTTTATTTATTATTTATTAGTTTTTTTTTTTTAATTATTGATACGATTTATATTAAATAACATTATCTGCAGCTAAGCACTTTAATTATTCAAGCTATTACCTACTTCAGTATGGTTTTAATTATATATATGTATTACATTAAATGGAAACGGAAATAAGTGCAAATACAGCTTCCGGCCATTCTATGTATAAATCAAAGATCTCTTGCCCTTAGCTAACACTTAAGCTATAATGGAGGGGCCATCACTTACTTCAGCGAACTTGAATCATGAGTTATAAGTAAATTGGCACATACACAATCAAATTTGCATTTTGTAAATGTTTTACATATTGCGGCATTAAGGAACAATGTTATTATACAGTCTACCACCTATGAGTTAATTTATGCTAACCAGGCAGACAATAGACCACACGAGCACTACGAGCTTGAAACTAAACTTGAACTTCGCACCAAAACGTTGAACTTTGTGCTCAATTTTGTGATTTGATCGTAAATGCGCAGCTCTTTCTCTTCCCTTTATTCATAAGTAGTTTCGTTATGGCTGTGAAATATTTCGAATTCGTTGGGATATTCCAAAAATCAAAAATATCCCATACTCATTTCAATATTTCAGTGCCTAGTCTACAAAAACAAACTACAATTGAAAACTTCATTCGTTTGCAAGAAATAAAAAAAGGTAAATAAATAGTAGGACTGCCTTTGAATGCGACTCTCTGGCTATAATTATAACAAATACATATGCAAAGTAAAAGAATTAAAGAAAATAAACGAGCAGCTGCACAAAAACAAAAAGCACATTTAAACTTCGTTTTCAAACTGGTTTTGAATTAAGTGTGCTAAATTTTTAAGAATTCGCATAATAAGCAAGAATTACTCAAGAATTTCAAATTGCGAATTTATTTTAATCAAGCGCGCATTTGTCTTGCATGCCTAAAATTTGTCTTAGTTTCGAGTTAGGGGCACGTTTTTTGTTTGTTTTTGTATTTTTTAGTCTTTCATTTGTGTTTTTTTTTATGTTCATGGGCTTGTTGACTGCCGAAGACTTTTAGAAATTTTCAATAAGCGGCAAAAGATGCCAAAGCCACTTAATTGGCACTCTGACAGCTGACAGCTGCATAAAACCCACAGACACTCATACATACTTAGTTATGTATTTGGGTATATATTTATGTACATACTATATGTAAGCGTGTGTCCAGCATTATCTGTATGCCAGCATAAGTCATTGACTCCATCGCCGATCTTTCGTTTAGCACTTAATGCGATTTCATGGTGTGGCACTTCTAACTGTGTTTCTCGCTTTTAAATTGAAATGTGAAGCGTAGATTGTGTGAGTTCGGAGGTGGAAATATAGTAGATGAGAGGTGGTCCGCAGCCGAAAGGAAATTATTATTTATTTAATATGAATGAGTAGAGAAATATGGGACAGTTTCGGAACTGCGTTCAATTTGGAGGATCTTTAGAGCACCTACTTAGTTTACAAATTATTAAATATAATAGTTCCTTAGGACTACCTTAGGACTGCTAAGAGAAAGAGAGCTTTTGAAACGTTGACCAATTTCTAATATCAGCTAAAATACAAGTCTCTCTACCTAAAGTGATTATGAGCAGCCGATGAGAAATGAATAAATGCTGAACAAATCTTGC